GCAACTCCTTGCACCCGGGCTCAGGGCTGTGCCAGGTTATGGTCTACAGGGACCGAGAAGACCCCAGGGAGCAGATAAGGAATGCTGGAGGTGGGGAAGATAAATACTTCTGGTGCCTTTTTTTTAAAAAAACAAACAACCAAAACAACCATGGAGGGCATGACCTAGTGACGACACAGAGCCTTTAGCAATGACATTACCAACATCCCAGGAGGAACAGGAATGCAGATGCTTTCATAAGAAAATATTTTCTCCCCACCCAAGGGAGACCATTTGCAGTGAAAGATGCTATCTGCTCCACTGCAAAAATGTGCTCGAGCCCTCCACGGAGACGCACAGAGGCACGAGTCAGGCTGAAGATAAAAACCATTTTCTCAGAGCCAGGGCTGCCCCTTCATGCCCGGGCTCCCCGAGGGGAGGATACTCCTCTCCCCGGCCACTTTCCCAGGGACGTGCTGCGGGATGTGCCCTTTTGGCCCATATCCCTGGGTTTTGCCTCCCAGAGGTGAAAAGATGATGCCCCACTGTCTTTTTTTTCCCCACCCACCTCTAAAAACAGGATTAGATGCTCAGATTTGGGAGCGCAGCAAGGGGCGAGCCTGGTGGAGGACCAGCCCACTGCCCTCAGGTCCACAGGCGCCATCCTGGGGTCACCACCTCCCCCCCCTAAAACCCCCTTGTGCATCTCCCGCTGGGGAGGAGGTGAAGAATCACCTCTCCCATGGTGGCATTTGCAGAGATTGCAGGAGATGGAAAGCGTTTGGCAGCACGATCACACGCTGCTCACCCACGGACGCGGGCAGAGCCGAGTTCAAGAGGTAGAAACCACTGCCCGGCACATGGGCAAAGCAGGAAATTCTTGAAGCCAAGTCGATGGTTTGCTGCGCGGCCTCAGGCAAGTTATTTTATCTTGCCATCACTGTGGCCTCCTCTGAGCTGGCCACGAAGAGCGTTTCCCGCTCCTCGGAGGGGCTGTGGAACATCCATGGGGGCATCGACAGAGGAGTGAACGCTGCTCTGAAGACCAGCCCTTTGCTTCTGCTCCCGTTCACGCCTCTGCTTTTGTTTTGCAGAACCTGCGAGTCCGGAGCACAGGGGGGACGGAGTTTTTCACACGCTCGGCCACCAAGTTCAAAGGGGCTTTAGCCCAGAAGTTCATGTTTGTGGACGGGGACCGGGCCATGTGCGGATCCTACAGGTAACTGGTGGCATCTTCTCTTGCCCATCCCATGGAGTCATTGGTCAAAGGACCGACGCAGACCCACGTGCCCAGCATGGCCTTAGAACCCGGTCCTAGATTTGCTCCCCTCCTCCTAAACTGGGAAATGTTTCCACAAGGCCAGCCTGAGATTTGGGGTGGGACCCGAGGGGTCCCCACTGCCCCATAGCCAAGTCTAGGACACCCCTCCTTCTCAGAGGTGGTGGGACACACCAAGTGCTTCTGCCAACGGATGCGATGAGCACAAGGAAGGACAAAAATACCAAACCGCAGCCAGTCCTAGCTCTCACACTGACCTCAGATTTTCTAGTTAAACATTTCCTACCCAAAGCATTTTCCAGTTTGTCCAAATGGACGTTTCCTACTTTCTGGTCACAACAAAAAACACATCCATTTATGAGTAGCTTTTCTTAACTAACCCCAACTGAGAAAGGAAAAGTGGCCAACACTGAGGTGAAAAACTAACTGGCTCACAGCAAATACCTTTTACTTCAAGCTCCAGTGTGCTCAAGACTTCAGCCCTTCATTCTAATTTGGGATGAGAGCTATTTCTTCGATCTCATTATTATTAATGTTTACAGTGAGATCACGCCCCTGCTAGCACCATCAATCCCTGGGGAAAGCCGGGGTTGGGGAGAAGTGTGTTGTGTGCCAGTGAGTGCTCAGAATGCTTCCGATGTGTTTCTGTTCCAGTTTCACTTGGTCCGCAGCAAGAACAGACCGAAACGTCATCACAGTCCTCTCGGGCCAAGTGGTGGAGACATTTGACAAGCAGTTCCAGGAGCTCTACCTCATGTCCAAGGGGGTGAGCCTCAAGTCCATCTCCATGGGTGAAGAGCCCGAACCCGAGCCTGTAACGCTGCCTTCCGTCGTGCCGGTGACCCCTGCCAACGCTGTAGTGAAGAAGCTGATAAACCCTAAATATGCCCTGGTGAAGGCCAAGAGCGCCGACCAGATCAGCAAGACTTCATCTGAGAATCAGGACAAAAACCAGAAGACAGACAACAAAGGCAAAGCCCTGCCCGAGGGCCAGGCGGGCGACAGGCACGGGGAGGTAGCAGACCTCTCCCTGCTCATCCATCCTGGCCTCCTGAATCTGGAGAAAGCCAACATGTTCGATTACCTGCCCACCTGGGTCGAGCCTGACCCTGAGCCTGGGAGCGAAGTCTTGGGCTACATCAACATCATTGACCCCAAGATAAAGAATGTGAAGCTCTCGCAGATGAACCGCATCAAAGTTTGTGACGTCTCCCAGGCCAGCGCCCAGCACCGACAGATGCTGAAGAACAGAGAGATGGAGACCAAGAAAAACTCAGACCAAGAGCCACCTCTGGTGTCCCCCTGCCAAAGACAGACCCCACAGACCCCCATGGAAGCTTCTGCAGCCCCTGCTATCAGCCCCCTCAAAGGTGCCAGCTGGACAATGAAGCAAGCAGGAACATTTGCCACTTCACCACTGGGCCACCACTTGAAGCCACCGGAAGAGACACTGGAGGACATCAAGCCCCCGGTTCCAAAGCCAAGGACCATCCCCGTCGGTGTCCTTGTGACCAAAGTCATTATGCCCTGTGACAGCAGCACTGCCCCAGAGGGTGACACACAACCACCGCCGGCCGACCACGCGGGTGCAAAGCAGGAACCAGAGGAGAACCCCAATGGGGCTTCAGTGGGAACCTGCCATCTCCAACCAGACCGGCCGGTGGCAGGGCCACAGGAGGACAAAGGGCCTCCCTGCGCCCACAATGGGCTGGGAGAGGAAGAAGAGGAGGAGGAGGAGTATATCACTCTCAGTGACCAGGAGAGCTACTCCAGCAGCTCTGCTGACCACAGCTACCGCCGCTCCAACGCCTCCTCCATCTCAGACGAGTACTTCGAGGTGAGGGATCGCTATGGGCCGCTCCGGCGAACCAACTCAGACGTCACCCACAACGGGGAGATCCTTCCCATCCAGAGGAAGCTCAGTGACCCTCACATCAGCCGGGGCACCTTCCTCAGCCCCTTGGGGAGCCTCCCGTCCCTGAAGCACGTCCACGTGGAGGACGTGACGAAGAGGAGGAGCAACGCCGTGGAGATTAGGTGTGTGCTGCCCCGCACCATCCTGGATGGCAACAGCTCCTACCCCAGCAGTGCCGCGCAGGTAGGACTTTTTGTTATAAACTTCCCTGTGTTCCTCCACCCTACAAAGGTTGCAAACCTGGAGGTGACCCAGCCAGCTCAGCCAAGGCGTGGTGTCATCCCTAGCTTTGGTGTCGCGTCCTAGATGCTGAGATCAGACTTCCCATACGGGAAAATAACGCCCTACACGCGGCGATGGTAGGAGCCATCCAAGAGGTGCTCTTGGTCGGGAAAGTGGTGGCCGTGCCACAGCTGTTGGTGTCTGGGAGGGCAATGGGAACGGGTGGTAAAGGGGTGTTTCTGGGCAATTAAAGATTATCCCATGGCATCAGGCAGTGGGATGGAGCCCACCGGCAGTGGCATCATGCCCAGCCAAGGACTGACTGTGCACACAGGCGTGTCCTTCTCAGGCTTGTTTTCTAGCTCCTTGCAAAGGTGATTAGCATCAAAGTAAAAGCGCTCGGACACATAATTAGGCAGAGCAAGACAGCGGAGAAACAGGGACAGCAACCTCTGTGGGCGAACGTTGCAGTCAGCAGCTTCGTGGCTGATCCACGAGTGACGCCAGGCCTTGTCACCCCATGGGGTGCATGCCAGCACCCCGCTGCAAGGCCACAGGGTGCACGCCAGCATCCCCGCCACGGCGCGAGCATCACCCCATCTAGGCAGGGGGACCGCAGGGTCAATCCCCCTTATTTCCACCCAAGCGCTGCAGCCTCTTGCACCACGGCCGAGCATTTTGGTTTCTCAGGGCTCCCCACCAGCTGTTTTCAGGGCATTCAAACCCCCAGGGCTAAATCAGAAGCTGAAATCACTGAAGCCGCCTGAGGTTACCCCAGCTGAGCGTCTAATCTGTATTTACAGGGAATTAAGTTTACTAGTCCAGAGTCCACTTGCTTTTCCCTTCCCAGCCAGTGACACAGAGCTCAGAGCAGGGGTTTAATCCTCACACGTCAAATATCCCCTCACGCCCTGGAGAGCCGTGCAGGGCGAGGAGCACCGAGCCCTTTGATGCACTGTGACCCAGGTGCCACCTTGCAAAGAGTGGCCAGGTACGTTGGCGTTCCTGCAATAACTTGCTCTGGCCCTTTGCTGAAAGGCAGATAATTAACACACCACCAGGGTTAGGAAAGGCAACACTCAGCTAATGGAAACGTACAGAGGATAGTTTCTCCCATTTGTAAAAATAATAAACCAAAGCAATCCTTGATTAACTCTCTAGGAACCTCAAATCTGACAGGAACCACCAACATTTTTTATTCTGGGTCCACATTTCGTACGCGCTGGCCTGTAGCTCAGAACGCAGGTGGGCTAACATCACATTTTCCATCACATTGAAAACACGGCACCCAAGTTATCCCTGGAGCATTGCGTTGCCTAATTACACACAACCCTGTTCCCACCTGGTTAATGGAGCACAGCAGCATTGGCTGATGCACGGCAGGCACAAGGAGAGTGCTGGGGACACTCGGGTCCTCTCCTGTCCCTCTCCCTCCTGCCAGGTCTGTGCAGAACTGGGGACACTCGGGTCCTCTCCTGTCCCTCTCCCTCCCGCCAGGTCTGTGCAGAGCAGAGGCTTCCAGACAAGCCCTGTTCCCATTCATTGCTTGGTGATGGGAAAAACACCCACCCCGCCAGCTCCGCGTCCGCGTGGCCGGGCCCTTACCTGGGTACAGGACTCTGCTGATCATCCCCGGCATGATGATAACGAACAAGGGCAGCATCTTCAAGTAGCTGGCCAAGATGGAGCCGGCCTTGGCGTGACACAGGCTCTTAGCAGAGAGCGACCGTTGGACGATGACCTGTGGGAGAGCCGGGCAGGACGGCTGAGCAGCCACCGACACCTCCTACTCCACATCAGCCTCCTTCTTGCCAAACTGCACCCCAAGCACCTCCAAACGCTGGAGCCACCGGGCATCGGGCCCAAACGCAGCTCCCAAAAGCTACGTAGATGTGTACCCAACCCACGGGCTGGGTTTCTCTCCAGACCAGCGATGGGTTGCTGTTATGCCATGGCACCACAAAAGCCCAGTGCAACCACAGCAGCACGTCCTCCCGCCAGTATCAACCATTCCCCACCACCATCCTCATCCCTCTTGCCCCTTCTGTTCAATCTCTTCCCCAAAGAGTTCCCACAATGAAATGGACACAAGGTCCACCCTCTTCCTACCACAATTCCACCACCCACCCTGCTCAGACCATCACACCTCAAAGCTCTGGCCAAGCTGTGTCCATCCACAATCCAGCCAGCCCTGGGGTTTTGAGGCAATCTCTCTTAAATAGGCAACATCTGTAGGAAATACTGACTTTAAAAGAGCTCAGGCTCTCCCCAAAGGCTTACAGAGAAGTGCTCAGCACCCAGCAGGATTCAGCCACTCCTGAGCAAGCACTCCATGAGCAAGCTCATGCCACTGGCGGGCAGGAGGGACGGGGTATCAGTTCCTGGGATGAGATGCTCAGGGGAAGCTGTGGTTTAACTTCTGCCTGAGAGCCAAAGCACGTCAGGAGCCACAGGACCCACCACCCAGCTCAAGCACCATGTGCACCACAGCAGGCACGTGAGGACCTCAAAGGGAGAGGAGCTAAATCACCCTTAGCCCTTCCCACCTGAAGACATCTCAGACCTTAGCACTGATTTTAAGCAAGGCAGGTAAATCAATCTAACATTATCTAAGCTAAACTGCTTTAATGCAGCCCTCCTGGTCAAAGCAGGAGGTGTCTGCTCGAGGACCAGAGAGGGCATTGGGATATTGGGACTAAACGACTGAGCACCGAGACGACGCCAGCAGCGCGGCGGCGATGCGGCGCTGGCGGCACGGCGAGGGTCGCGGCAGAGGCAGGGCAGGTTGGTGCAGCCACTTCTGCAGCCTCCCAGCCCCAGCTCGTCCTGCCATCAGCACCTGCGCTCGCTAGATCCAATCTCGCCCGGGGTACGTCTGCACAGGGTGCAATCACACCTCCAGGTTGCGGCGCAGACACACCCAAAGAGGAAGATAAATATCTGGTGACCACAGCCGTGCGTTAAGGCTTTACCCAGTCCAGAATTAAGATTAATGGTGCTCAGACCCGATCCAAACGTGTGTCTCAACCCAGCTAATCAGAGCCACCCCCGCAGTGGTGTTGCAGCTCACTGTTGTCTCCTGATCCCACCTCCTCTCCCAACCCTCCATCCTTTCATCTAATCTTTGTAGCCACCTAATCCCACAGGTTGGGTCTGGATGACTGATTGCTCTTTGGGCCTAAAATGAGCACTTAGATGATTAAGACGGGTGTTCAGGCTGCTGCTGGAGAGAAGGTGTTGAGATGCCGCTGGCGTCCTTGGTCCTGGATCTCCAGGCGCAGTGACTTGGCTCAGGACAGCCATGGGGCTGCTGAGATGCTGCGATGTGCAGGAGCGTGTGCTGCCAGAACGAGAAATCAGAGCAGCAGCAATGGTTAAGACTTGAGGCAGTTTTGAGCTGCCACCGGTCTCAGAAAAATTTGGGCAAGGGAGTAAGTAGACCAAGTGGCAGGGGGATTTGTCCATGAGGACCAAGTCCAGGGCAAATACTTGTGAAGGGGTGTCCTTGCAGGGGAACAGCATCCTTCCAACAGCAATAGCTCATCTCTTTCTCTGCTTTTTTAACAAACAGGGGACGCACATCTACCGGTACCGACCCAGGAACCCCGCAGGCAGAGAACAAGGCAAGGAGGTCTCCTGCTCCCCAACGCATGAGAAACCTCCCGGGGCCACCAAATACAGAGGGGATGGAGCCGAACCCAAAAAGACCATTGCAGGCAGCCAGCCCTACTGGCAGAGCAAAGCCTTCAGCCCCAGCAAGCCCACACAGCCCGGCCACCTCTCACCGAGCAACCCCAGAACATCAAGCAAACGCTTAACCTCCCTGCCGGAAAGCCAGAAGACAACCGAGGAGATGAGGACACCCCTTGGCATCCCGCTCTCCAAACTGTCCCAGTCCAAGCACCTCAAGAACAGGGTTGCGGGAGCCCCGGGTGCTTCTATTGACTCCAAAAAGAAGCTCCCCGAGACCACCAGCCAGAAGGACCACTAGGTGCTGGTGCAGGTGGACTTGCAGAGCAAGAGCAGTAGTAGAGCGTGCCTGGACCCCAGGCAACGCCGTGTTACATGGGGCAGGGGATTCTTGTTTACATTTACCTGGTCGGTGCACCAGTACCACGTGGCCATGATAGACAGCCCGAAAGTCATCCCGGTCCAGGGCAGATCTCCAGAGACTGGGTCTCGGAAGAGGTGCATTGCATCCGCTCTGGGCAGGTGGCAGGTAGTGTTGGGAACAATCTTGGATGGCACGGCTTTTAAGTAGGCCTCTTCCAGGTTGGGGTAACCTCCGATCGCATTAAAAGCTGGAAAGCATCATTGGAAGAGGCTGGTTAGGGTCGAGCAAAACCCAGTGGCCTGTGAGATCAGTTGGCAAAACGCTCGCCGACTCGTTAACTCAGAAGTGCTGCCCAGAGAGGGAGGGCTCATTTGTGATTGTGTTTTCTTCTAGTTATTTAAGAGACTCTTCTGTTAACATTTTGCACAGCAGGTCCCATTACAGTCCACCCTCCCTTCAGAGGGTGACCCGTGTGCTGGGACAAAGACTCCTTAAGGGACCCACCTCTTTTGACCTTGTACTGTAAAAGCAACCTGTTTATTAAAGCTCCCTGGCCTCAGAGCAGGGGAAGCTCACCTAGGACTATTAAAATACAAGATTAGGTAGCCTTTGTCTTGATATACTACGGCTCAAGGTGCCTTGACACAAATGTCCAGCCAAATATTTTCTACCCCTCTGAGCGTTTCCCCAGCACCCCCCATGAGGCTCTATCCCAAAACCTCCAGCAACCAGTGAAAAAAAAACAAACAAACAAACAAAAGAAAAACAGAACAAAACAAAACAAAAAATGAAAACCCTCTTCACTGCATTTTTCCTAGGAAATGGGATCCAAGGTCTGGGTCTTAGCCTGAGCCCCGCTGAGGAGTACGTGCCATGAACAAGCCCTAGCAAGCGAGCCTCCGAGCCCTTGGCAGCTGCCTCGGTGCTCCTCCTGCACCGCAGCTGCCAGCCCCGGGCTCTGCCCCGGCCCCCCATCGCCTCCCCACTCCTGGGGGGCACGGGCTGAACGCTCCTTGCAGCAGAATTTTGGAGCCAGAGGCATCGCTTTTTGGAGGAGGGAGAGGAAGGAGGGGGTGGGAGGCCACCCGCCCTGCTCCCCCCCGTGTGCCGCAGCCACCCACGCAGCGGCCGTGGAGGAGATAAACAGGGATGTGCGTTGGCACCCCCATATCCACAGCAGCTGCTGGCACTTGGGAGAAGAGAGGAGGTTCTGGGGCCTCCACGGGTTTCGTGAGGGGGGTGACCTGAGCATCTCTCAGTGGATTTCCCCACGTTGGGTCCAGCTGTCGCATCCCACATCCCGCATCCCTTCCGCCCCCACCCACGGGCTGAGGTCCGGACCCTCAGCTCCTGAGAAGTCACCCTCCTGCAGGACCGTGCCCACGAGCACTGCTGTCTTCAGACCGAGAGCAAATCCCTCAGGCATCAGGTGCTGGACACTGGGATCACCATCAAGTGCCAGCTTGAGCAAATCCCAATTTCCAAGACACTCGTCCTGCTCTGTTGTCCCCTCCCACCCGAGGACAGCCCTCTCCCTGCAGCCCTGTCCTCATCCCAGGGCATCCCCCTAACCTGAGGCTTTTTGGGGGAGTTTGCAAAGGGACATCATCCACCGTGCCCCCTCCCTTTTGCAAACCAGCCCCTCCATATTTCCCGGGGAGTCAGAATTTGTAAACTCCTCCTGCTCTTGTGCAAGCAGCCCTGGCTGCCCTCCAGCGCTTGGTTTATCCAGGCACCGGCTACTCCCAAGCTTTGCATGGGCGTTGGGCACCAACAAAGGCTCTCCAGAGGCAGAGGGTGAGCGCTGAAAGCAGAGATTCATGCCTGGGGGTGCGGGCCTGCTCCCTTCCCAAAAGCATTCACCAGCAAGTCACAACATCTACGCCTGCTGAGATGGAAGAGCGGGGCAAAAAAACGCCGGGCGGCAGGAGCTCAGCCTGCAGCTGCCCGGCTGCAGCCCGTGGGCTCTGCCATGATTAACATCCCCGTGGTGAATGCTGAGAGGGGTGCAGGATGGCACGGTCTCTCTTATCCGTGATGCCGGAGCTAAGCAGAGCCACCACCAGCACTTCCACCCACTGAAACAGCCACCGAGCTCTCTGTTAAGGGAAGTGGTTTGTCTACAACCCCTCAGTCTGTAAGCGCTTGCTGTCTGACTCGAGACTGCTCTGCTCAGCATCGCACCCGAGAGGATTTGCACAACCCTCCTGCTCCCCCTGGGGAGATGCAACCTCAGAGCCAAGCAATACATTTTTTCATCCCTTCAGCAGCAGCAGGGGTGGTGATGGTCCGGGCAGAGCAGACCCAGAGCATTCGCAGCTTAGCAGAGGAGCGTTGGCATCACTGCTGATATGAACAAGGTAAAACATGGAGAGTACCCTTTATTAGATGAGCTTGACAAGACCGAGCACCCATGAGGGATACCAGCCTCCAGGTCCCGAGGAAAAAAAACCTGTGTGACCAGCAGCTTGTCTTTTAGCTCCCCTGGACCAGTCCCTCTCCCAACCACCCTCACCCCCCTGCACACACCATGCCATGCTCGCAGGTTGGCAAAGCCAAAAAAAAAAAACCTGGGCTCTGCAGTCGCCAGTGGGGATTTTCCAGGCCTTGCGTACCTGCCCTCCTACTCTGGCTCTGCTTTGCTGCACCCAGCCAAGTTTATCAGACACAAGCCTCAGAGAGCCCTATGGCCAACTACAGCTTCAGACAACAATCAGCAACAACCAAGCACCTCATCTAACGCAAGGGCTTCAGCCACCACTCAGATCTGCTTGGACAGGCAATGTGCTGCTCTGCCCGGCAGAGCTCCCTGCTTCTGCTGGGGTAATTAGTATTATTGTCACTTCTCCAGGAAGTATCTGTCCTTTCATTTGGTTTTTGTAAATATATCTTGCGGTGTACAGGGCTTGCCGAGGAGCAAGCTCTGCTTTTGCACAGGGGAGCAGCCGCGGGACCGGGCTGGCTGCAGGTCTGGAGCTGCTCCCACCTCCACAGCAGAGCTCCTGTGCAGCGTTGGGTCAAAGCCTTTCCTACCTGCCTGCCTAAGCAGAATTCTTCAGGAGATGGTGGAAATCATCTCAGGAGTGCCTTTGGAAATCATCCTCTGTAGTTAAACGCCTTCCTTTGAAGCTGGGACCTGGCTTTTTGCCTTCTACTCCTCAGGGCCAAGAGCCCCGATGGCAGAACAATGCTGATGAAAGCTCCCAGTCTCGCAAGGGTGCTCTGTGGCTAAATGTACGGAGACACAACAGCGCTGAGTGCTCAGGAGGGGCTGGTGATGAACCAGGAGGAAGGCAGGGCACCGTGCTCTTCACCCCCAGGCCATCCCCTGCAGCAGTGCCTTGTACCAGCACCACCTCCTGCCCTGCACGTCCCAGTGAGGTGGGATCTTGTCTGAAAACCCCACCGCAACGCCCGCTGCAAGCTCTCCGGAGCAAAACTGGAAATGCTGCTTTGCTGCCAAAAGCTTGATCGGTCTCTCTAGGAGTGCACGGACTAGAGGCAAACATGGGGAGCAGCAATGACCACGGGAAGGTCACCGGTGCTGGGGACAGTCCCACGTGGAGGACCAGGGGGATGCTTCATGGCATCTTCACCCAGAGGAATGGCATGCAGGGGAAGTACGGAAGCAGAGGGGACACAGGGGGACCACAGACTTTCTGGAGGAGATTGCTATGGCCCAAAGTCCTGCTGGGCATGTTGGCCAAATTTCTCAGACTGAGTCCTTATTTATTTCTGAGACTGCCTGAGTGGGGAGAGAAGGTCCCATTGGAAGGAGGGTCCGTGCTGTCCCAGCCCTTACCTTTCACCGCCAGCACGATGGCTCCGAGGACCATGATGAGCGTCTGCAGCGCGTCGGTGTAGATGACAGCCGCCAGCCCCCCTGCACGAGAGCAAGGCACAGCATCGAGAGCGTCGCTGGCTCTGGGCTCACCTCGGCGGTGAATCCCAATAAAGCCCCCCCTGCACTCACAGGGACGTGCCTGTCACCGGCCCCGTCCTGCCGACACTGCGGTGATGGGGGGGCTGCAGCGGGAGCATGAAGGGGGAACAGCCCCTCCGTGGGTCTGGTGTCAAGGGGTGACAGCACCCCGCAGTGGGGGGGATGTCAGCCAGGCCAAGCTTTTTGGATGCTCCAGCAAGTAAATCATGTTCAGGACACTGATCTCATCACTCATCCCCCACCCCTCCCTAACACCATACCAGGTCTCCCCTTTGTACGCCCCTCAGCTCTCCTCCCAACCCTACAGTTTTGTTTTTCCAGCACCTGACGCTCAGTGGGGTCCCCCTTGGCCAGCCAGTCAGCAGCATTTCTCCCTTTCCATCCCAAGCTCTCCCTCCAGACCTGTTGCAAACCCAGGACCTGCTCACCTAGCCAGAAAGCGATTACTCAGCACACGAACAAAAGCATTGAAAAGTAGCGGAGCTAGAGAAAATGGGTCAGAAACTGAACCAGTTTCAACCCCAGTCACCGACTCACATCCTGGGAATTCAGGGCTGCACCCTGCCCGGCCATGCCTGGGATTTAGAGGGATGTTCTCAGGATCAGGGTGACACAGCGATCACACCCTCTGCCTGAGCTCATGCCGAAATGCCTTACTTCACAACAAGCCTCGTGGGCAGGAAAAAAACCCAAGATAGGATTTGCTTAAAACCAAAGTCTTGCAAAATCTACTATGTTTCGGATATACTTAAACAGTTTCCCGTTTTGATGGCTGGGATGAGATAGTGAGGGAGAATTTACTGCCCAGTGTCTTCACTGGCAGGGATACACAGTCCCACAGTCCGGGACTGCAAGTCAGGAACCCACAATTTCCAACTCCAGCTCCAAAACCTCATTGCCTACGGATCACAAAAGAACCGTATGGAGTGACCCTGCACAAAAATAGCTGGTCCCACAGTGGGGAAGCATGGGCAAGAAATATTCCCGAAAGCTTTGCAGAGGGAGGGCAGCAAGTTGCACTGCAGGCAGGGCGAGTGGGAGGGAAATGAGTTGGGTAAAGAGCTCTCAGATTGTAGATTCCATAGTAACAGTCCTGTAATTGGAGAAGCCCTGATTATTGCTGTTACAAATAGGTACATACACAAGAAAGCACTTAACTACATGATGGAGGAGGAGCTACTATGAATGAAAAACCGTAATGACAAAGGAGAGGTCATGCACTGAGTCATTGCCTGAGCTGAGGCTCCAGAAAGATGCTCAGATGCTGGCTGGATAGGTCAGGGAATATGAACCCCATTAGTATAAATCCCCAAAGACCTTCCAGGAACAACAACAACAAAAATACATAAATAAAAGCAGGAGTATAAATGGTACGGTTCAACCAAAGAAGAAAGATTAAGGCCAGCAGATGCTGAGCAACCTACCTGCAATGGTGTAGAGCCCCGTGACCACCAGCATCAGGATGGTGGAGAGGTAAAGGTCCCAGCCGAGGCAGACTTGCACAAAGAGGGCCCCCGAGTACAGGTCCGTCTGTGCGTGGAAGAAGGAACACAGGCTGGGACAAGTGACATTTATTTGGCCAGAGAGCACCCACGGGCTGTTGCAAGAGCAGCACGGCGGGGAAACAGTCAACACTGTGGGTACAGCGAGGACGTTGCACTGCACGTGCCAGGAGGACACCTCCCGAAGCCAGCGCTGAAGCCCACAGTCCCACGAGGGTGGCTGTAAGTCCAGGTGTCACAGGCCACCTCCCCCCCAGCCCCCAAAAGAGCGGAGCAAGCAGCTCCAGCAGTCATTTGCAGCTGGGCTCAGCTGGATGCGGACAGCTGGGATGCAAGGGTCAAAAATGGGATGGCTCAGGGCATCGGTGCTGCCCCAGCCTTTGAGAGCAAAGCAGGGAGCTGGAGATACTCAGCCCTTTACAGGATCAGACCCTGGCCTCAGCTACCCCCTTGCTGCCCTGAATACCTCCAGTTCCCCCCACCAACGCCCTGCTCTCCAGGTGGCATCTCACTCTGCTTTCTGCAGAGCCCTGGAGATGGGATACCTGGTACCAACCGGGGGGCTGTGCTCCCCCAGAACACCAGCACCCTTGGGTGCTCCCTGGAGGCAGCCCAAGCCACCCCCCCCAAGCCCAGCACACCCCTGCTGTTTCTGCACCCCGACAGCCCCCGCGGGGCCAATGCACGGGGGTGGCTGTAGCTGGTATTTCACGTTCTGCTTGGCAGGATTCACCCTCCTGGCACCCATGCTGCTGACGAGGAGGCTGCCAAGGACCAACTCCCCCCTCCCCAACTGCAGCTCAACAGCCCGGGCCGTCAGACCGGTCAGGAGGGCGGGCAGCGAGCCCAAAAACACTGCTGGGCGCAGGAGGGGATCTCCTCCCAGGTGCAGGGACTTTTCAAGGTGCTTGCTGGTACCTGCAACGCCTTCAGTGATGGACCGGGCAGCTCTGCACCACGTCGCCCAAGGCATTTCGCGGTGCTCGGGTGGGTGCTGGTGGGGCAGAGCAGGGTGCTGGCCGGCTCCCTGGGGGCTGCAGCAGCTTTTCCACCTCTGCAACCAGTTCAGAGTGAAGGAGCACACATGGGCAGCCCCAGCGTGGAGCACAACACCACCAGGACTGCAGTCCCTGAGCCTCGCCCCAGCAATAAGTCACATCGTTGTTGAGCATCTCTGGGAAAACATCTCCTGCTGGTTTTGCACAGATGGGGAAACGGCAGAATTTGCTTTTGGCCCCAAGGGAGAAGCAGCAGCCCAGGGATCCTGCACCCCAGCATGGACCAGCACAAATGCATCCTCCAACATTTGCAGCCCCCCTTGCAAAGCCCCTGGAAGATGCTTGCGGTTTCTGCTTGGCCACGGAAGGCCAGGCTGACTCCACGTCCAACACACCGTCTCCACCAGCCCCAGCATCTCCTCCACCCGTGTCGTGTCCCACAGGGACATCAGCAGCGTGCCTCTGCCCGGAGGAGTGTGCGCGGGCCCGCAGCTCGCTCAGCTGCCAAACTCCCTCGAGATGATTGACCCCCTGAAAGCGACCACCATTTCCCACCCGTGGGAGGGCTGGAGCCACACAGGGAGGTCTGGCCACGGTCTCACGGGAATGAGATGTAAAGCAGAGACTCAGAGGGAGCTGGGGCACCTCCTCCATCAAAACCAGCGATGCCGCGGGAGAAAAAGGACCAAGCACAGCAGGCAGTGCCCAGGCCACCACCATGTCTCCACCCGCAGCTGAGATCCAGCCATCCCCAGCGCTCAGCTGGGTTATCTTCACAAAAACCTTGTTTGGTGAAGGAAACGAGGCCAGAAGGGGCAGGAAGAGGCAAGACGAGCCGACTCCACGCCCTCGCCCAGAGCTGCGACGGCTTCCCACAGCCAAGACATCAGCTCTGATTTAACATCTTTCTTCACACACCTCCCAGAAACCATCCCCCAAACAGCAGAGCTTTCTTGCCTGGTTGTGCGGGAACAGTCACTTGTGATTAGTAACATGGAGGACTGGTGCTATTTCCCAGATCATACGTCCTTCCCCCACCTCTGCCCTTCTTCCTCCCAGTGCTGCTCTATCGCGCTTGCCATGTAGGAGCTGAGGACCATCATCAGGTGATGGAGAGGGGCCACGCAGGACCATGCAATGGAAGAACCAAGGCGTGTGCCGCCTTGCAAGGCTCCATCAGCCACCAAACCCAGTAGCTGAGCACACATCCAGCTTCAGCACAACACGAAAGCCTGTTCCCTAGCAGATGAGCCCACACCGTTAGGCATAACGTTGATTAAATCACAAAGCTAACCAACCAGAAGAGCGCTTACACCATGATTTTGAGGATCCTAATTCAGGGACAGTTCCATGACATCTGGACCAGGCTTTATACCACAGTCATGCCTGGCATTCCCGAGGGAGGTACTACGTGTCCTCAGCTGCACTTGGGCTTGGCCATGTCTCTGGGAGAGCCCTTGCCAGCACCAAGAGGCAATTCAGCCCTGGAATGTCCTGCTGAAGAGGAACCAACTCATGAGCAACCATGCCAAAATCTCTGCCAGTGACTCCTCTGATGCCTTTTCCACCATCATTGCAATCCGACCACAGCTTGATACCACCGAGACCACCAAGCAGCCCTACAAGAGGCTAACTAATCCATTCATGCACTGCAAACTTCAGCTACAAGGCACAAAAGCTGCAGCGGAGGGCCCTCACCTGTCTCCTCCCAACACAACCTGAAATGGGAACCCAAAATATTTTAAAGCCTCCTTAGTGCCAGCCAAGCATCCTTGTTGTCTTCTGGAGCTCCTAGCGTCCCTTGGAGGGATCCATCACTTGTTATCTCAGCACCAGCCAGAAAGTCATGTCCCCCGTGACTGCTTGCTTCTCCAGCAACCCTTCCCCAGAGCCCAGGTGTGAAGACTCAGCCCTGCACAAGATATTTCATAACTGCTTGTCCTGGCTTTCTCAATACTTAATCATTTTTGCAGTCGTCTGCAAATGAGTCTAAGCCTTTGCTATGAGGAAGCAGAGGTATCTCCACCTCCCTTCCTGGTAATTCTGCTAGGGTGGGAAAAAAATAAAAGCACATGTGACTGAGTTGTTAATAAGACATCCCAAATACAAAAACAAGCTAATTAAAACCAGGCATGACCTATTCATAAAATAAGTCCTTTCAACTGTAAAAGGAGGGGAGAAGCCTTTGAAGTCAGGTCTCATAATCCAGTGAGATCCCTGCCTTCACCAGTGACCTCACTTGGAAACTCGTTCTTACCCAACCTTGTTAATGCCTTCCCAATGAAAGTTGGCTTTAGAGACAGCTTGGATTTAACAATTTGCGAAGCCAAAGCCTCAGCAGAACAAGTTACCCCAGGTACAGAAGAGTCTCCAGGGGCTTTTCGCCAAGGCTAGACATGCCCGTGCCACTTCTCATGTGATCCTACTCAGGGGGGACACCATCTTTCAGCAGGACTTTGGGCTGCCCTGCTGCACCCTGCCATGAAATGTGGGAGGTTGGGGTGCACCAAGGGGTAAATTCCAGGAGAGAAGGGACAGTCACCCTCCCCGTCCCAGAAGAAGAGCCAAGGGGGCAACACTGATGCTGTGTCTCAGCTCAGGAGAACACGGAGTGGAGATCCATCCATAAACACAAGGTCTGCAGGGAGAAGAGGCAGGAAAAGCCCAGCTAGTCCTGGGCATCCCCCAGTGAGGACAATGCTTCTTGCTGTGGTCACCACTGGGGACGGGACATCAGGCCAGTTTGGCAGCGCCCCGCATGTCCGCAGACATTCATCTCAACCCATTGCTGGAAACAACCATTGTTTGTGAGATTTACCGTGAATGGAGCCAGATGCCAAGATAATCCCCTTATTAGGCTGATTCCTCTTCTGTTGCATCCTACGTGACTCAGAGATCAGACTCAGCAGACCAAAGAAACTACAGCACAGGCTGAGAAAAGGCACAGGAAGAGGCATTTGGGAGTGACCACCAGGCTCCAAACACGAGGCTGTGCTGAGAAGGGCCAGGAGGACCACAGAGGTTCCCATCGGTGCAGGCACAGCGCAGAGGTCATCTACAGGTTCCTCTGGTGTTAGCCAAGGGGTGACACCACAGCAGTCTCCCAAGGTAAGGATCGCTTTGTAGGACACCCAGCCCTTTTGGGCAAAACCACGGAGAGACTGGAAACCAAAGGGACAAAGCACATTCCCACGGCATCGTAGGGCACCGTTTTGTAAGAAAAAAAAGGGATTTCTGTGATAGTCTGGAAAGAGATTCAAAGACAACCAGCCCTCAAACTACTGGTAGTTTCTTCAAATTCAGATCAGAAAGAACTACCCCACCAGAAACCCTATCCCAGCTTCCAATCTTTCCTTTTAAATGCCAGCAGGGATTCACAAAGATCCCAGGGATCAACACCACAGATACGGATGCTCCAGCACCTCCCTCGAGCTCCTCCTGGGTCTCAGTCAGGAGCAGGGGAAAGATGTCTCCTGAGCAGCACACAGGAGTAAGTGATAACAGTTTACTGGACATTAGAACAATTAGGGAATAATCAAAGTGTCACTGCCCAAACTTGCAAACCGAACTGGTGCTCCAGGAGCCACCAGGCTGATTTCAGGGGAAATGCTGTAGGATTTTCAACGCCATAAACATTAAGGGTATAAAGAATATCAGTTTTATGGGAAGAATTCCCTCCAGCGTGGTAGGACATGGGTTTGTGGGGGCGGATACAGGTGGCAGCTGCATCAGCGGAGTCACCAGCATCACTCCTGCCACGCTGAAAGCCCTGCATCAGCAGGAACGCGGGAAAGGCTCCCATCTCCCGCACAACCTGCCTTTTAAACCCAAAGCATAGTGCCTTGCCCAAGGTCAAAGAGCAGCCCACGGGAAGGAGCTGGGGGGGTCTCCTGGAGCCAGGGACATCACATCACGCAGCGCTGGGCTCCGTTCGAGGCAGGCACAGCCTCTCCTTTTGCATTAAGCGCCGATGGACATGCACAGCCAGCGCTGTTCGCAAGCTGCTCCGCGCGGGGGGAGACCCAGAGGATCCCCCCCCCCCCCCCCCCAAAGCTCAGCTCAGGGCTTGGGGCTGCGAAGCTGCCGGGGAAGAGGCAGAAAACGCCACGCAGGGAGCAAGGGCTGCATCCAGCCGAGCTGGTGTTTGGGAAGCAGGGAGCTGTCGAGCCGCGGAGGCAGGCGCTGAGCGCCTCGCCGTGGGGAAGCGCACGCCGGCACCGGCCCTCCTGCCCGGCACACAGCCGCTTCTTGCAGCCAGCCACATGCAAAAGCACATTTCCTGCAGCCAGTCACCTGCAAAAGCACATCTCTTTCAGGCAGCGAAATGCAGGAGCCCCAGCAGACCTCAGGTCAGATCCGCCAGCTCCATCACAGGCGGTGGTGCAGGATTGCTCCCTCCGGCAGGTTTTCTCCTGCGGATCGCTTCTGAGCTGTTTGCTCTTGATCTCTGTCTCGCTGTCTCCAGCCCCCCAGGGCTGTCTGTGCCCTGCTCTCCCCTGCTCGCCTTAGGCCTGGTGTCACAGGCTCCTTAGCTGTTTTACCTTGGATAAACTCTTCCCGTGGTTAAGTGGGCAGCAGGAGCAGAAGCTGCACATGGGGAACTCTGAATGAGGTCAAAATGGGGGGAAAACATCCCTGTGGAAAAGCCCCTGAAAATCAGGTGTTTTCTGTACAGACTTGGGCATCTTATAGCTGCAGCAAATCTTCCTTTCCTCAGAAAACCCACGTGCCCTAAAACAATGAATGCATTCCCAATCCAGTCCCAACCTCTGCCGGATCCTTCAGGGATGCCGGAAAGCATCGCTGCCAGAGCATGGAGAAAAACCCAGACGGTGCAACCCAGCCTCTGAGCACATTTCATCCACAGCTTCTGCTGCAAGGCGAGTGCACTGTGAGCTTGGGAATGCTGACATGCAGCCACGTGTCCGTCGGGACCACCCGGACACGAGCATCGCTGATGGATCTACCTACAAACGCACAGGGTGCCGCAGACAGCACCTGCCCACGAATTCCCCACCTTGTCCTGCTCCCTCCTGCGGCAGCTGCTCTCCCCGGGCTTGACTACGTGAGGTTTGAGCCCCAAAATAACTTTTTGCTCGCTGGAAATCAGTTGTGGATTTGTCACGGAGTTGAGTGGGAGCTACTCACAGAGATTTTGGTGAAGATGGAGAGCAGAAGCGACAGGCCAGAGAGGTACATCTGGATCCTCTCCCCTCCAAACCTTCGCTGGAGATACTCGGGCATCGTGACAATCTGCCAGAGGGAAAGAGAGCGATCGCTGCCCTGTCCAGGCTCCCTCCTCTGGGGACAGTCCCAGGGAAGGCAAGGGGACAGCTCTAATCCCAGAGCAGGGTTTAGGAGTCTCAAAGGACAGTGGTGACAGCCCTCTGGGGAGCAGGGGACCCGGCCAGGCTCAGCTGCACGTACCCCAGATGAGATGTAGACTGGCACGAACACCCAGGCTAGTGCCAGAAGAGCGTAAGTCGCCTGTTGGGAAGGAAGAACACGGCACAGACAGAAAAAAACCCACTGATCCTGCTGGAGCTTGACCTTGCCTGGGGTGCTAGACCCTGTCCACCATCCCTGGCTCACCCTCAAGTGCACTTTTACGTCCCCAAATGGCTGCAGACAGCAGGCACGAGTGCAGGAGATCATGGTGGAGACCCCCTCAGCACCCCTGCCAGCAGGAGCCTGCTCCCCTCAGCCCTTCAGCTTCTGCCCAGACGTTTCCCACTGACACCCTGAGCACCAAGCAAGACAAATGCCATATTTTTGCTGCAGAAGCCAAGGACTTTGGATAGAACGTGCAGGAAAGCAAGGAATGGGTGACCTATTAGGCCATCTCCCTGTCAGGGTCACAGAGGGGCTGGACTGTGAAGCTCTGCTCTGAAATGTCCTTTTCCCTGAGCACGTGGACCTGAGTTGACACCAAACTCACTGTACGTGCACTAGACAGGAGCTGCAGAAGCCGTGTTAGCAGGGCTGTGTTAATTACACCCCCCTGCACGACTCCTCCCAAGCCTTTTGAGGCGTTGGGTGAAGCACGCTGGGCAAAGGGCCATCTGCCACGACACGGCTCAAGAAACTTAGTTTTCTTAGTAACGCGACACGTTTCTTACGTTCCACTCGAAGCCGGCGACGGCGATTCCCCCGGCAGCGCCGGTCCCGGCCAGCCCGATGAAGAGCCCCGAGCCTTCGCTGCTGGCGAAGAGAGAGGCGCCGATCTGTGGGGGAGCAGAGGAGGTGCTGTGGGTGCTCACAGGCGGGGTGCCCGGCAGCGGGGTGCCCGGCCGCCAGCTCCCCCTGGCTTGGCACAGCAGCTGTGCCAGCCGGACCAGCTTTGGAGCTTTCCCGGCAGCACAGCCCCAAGGGGTTAACTCAATAAGAGGAGGCAAAAATATGGTCTGAACGGGAGCAGCAGAGCGCTAAGACCTCCCCACCGCTTCTAAAAGCAAAGCGTGGCCAAAGATACACCACGTGTGATGAGGGCCGTGTACATATTTTGCAAGAAAACCCCTTAACAGCCTCTAATCCAGGTAGGCATGAGCCCAAGCAACCAGTGTTCCAGCACATTCAGCTCATCCGGGCATCCCCAGCAGGTTTTGGATGGACTTTCTTGTCTTGAGGAGGAGGCACGCATTGCTGCATTTGCCACGGTGGCCACACACCCTGCCCGGAGGTGGCCCGGTGCTAGCAGCCACCGTCAGACACGGGAAGGACCTACAACCAGTTTGTCAAGATCATACTGAGAGAAGAGTGACAAAAAGAAACTTGGGACACCCATGCCTTGTTGGAGCCAGCAGACGTAGATGTTTGACTCTAATGACTTCTCCCCGAGTTCAGAGACCCAAAAAGCCGGGTGGGCTCCAGCATCCTTCACGCAATGAGAAGGGAAACGCAGCTCAGAAGACAGGAATCCTGGCAGAAAGTGGTGTGCGTGGTGGGGGAAAGGGTGGGCAGGCGATGGAGAAAGCAAGGGGGGCAAAAGAGGGAATTTGGTGGGAGGGACAGTGGTGCTGGCTGTCCCTGCTGCCCAGGGTGTCACAAGAGGGACAGAGGTCTCTACTTACTGGCCACCATGCCATGTCTCTGCCAGCAAGGAAATAACCACTGACGGTGTTCCTGTTCACCCTGCATGAAGACTGGGAGGAGAAAAGATCAGCACGGAGCACCCTTCCCTACAAACCCAGACAAGACACCAAGAAATCAAGAACCAAGTCTCCCAGACAAGAAGCCAAGAGACAGGAGACTCGGGGATAATTAAGGGGAGCTCTGCAACTCGAGCTTAATGACATGAAACGGTGGCTGCACCCCGAGTACCTGGAGCCATGAATAGCAAAGGAGGCACCCCGAGAGGGGGAAGCGCAGAGGATGTGCCCGTCCTACCGCCATCCTGAGCAGACAGGTTGGCTAATAGGGCCCAGCTTTGGCTCTCATTTTTCTGCAAGGCAGAATAAATGGCTTTGGAGAGCCCTTGTCTGAAATTGTGGGTAGCTGAGGGCTTCTTTTTTTTCTTAAGCAGGGCATTTGTCTCAACACCCTTTAATAGACAAGCAGGAGATCTGCTTACACCCAGCAGACTGGAAGCCAGGGGAGAGGTTTGTGACGTGGTTAATTCCAACTTGTTTTCAGGCTATAGGAGCCTTTCTATAGGGGTGGTGGCGGGTTTGTACAACAGTAAAGAGCAAATGCAGCACAACGCACAAAGTACATAACAAGTACAAGAGAATAACAAGGGTTTTCAAGATATTCCGCACAGAAAAGTCAGCCCAGACAAGAAAAAAAAACAAACAAACAAAAACCAACCAAACAAACAAAAAAAAAACTGAAAAAAAACAAAAACAAAAAACAAACAAACAAAAAAACCCAAAAACAACAAAAACAAACAAACAAACAAAAAAAAAAAAAAAACAAAAAAAAAAACAAACCCACAACTATTCAAAAAAGAAAGTAGAAAGGGAACAAGAGAAGATACTCTTACCCATATTCCCACTGCAACATTCAAGGAAAAATAAAGCACTACGACGACAAGGTCAGCAACGCTGAACTGCTGCGAGGGAGCAAAGGATCCAGCAGTGGAATTGTCCTCCATCATTCCTCTGCCTCCTTCTTCATCCTCAGCCTCAGTCACTGAATCAGTAACTCGTTAGGGGCCTGAGGGCATTTATCATTAAACGAGCTGGCAGTAGGAGCTTCCCTTCCGAAGGCGCTCGGGTGGGCAGCCCGGCTGGCCGCTGCCTCCCTCCCTGACCACCCTTCCTGCTGGCACCCGAGGGACGCAGCGTCCAGGCGAGCACCTCTCGATTCTGGTGGCTCACGAACGAGCAGCTACTCAAACCCCATTTCCTTGGGCTTTTCTGCTTCTTCTGCACTGATCTTGAAGGAGCTGCAGGCTCCAGTCCAAGCTGCGCCTGCCGTTAATGCATTTCTGTGACGCGCTCTCAGGACACGGGCTCCCAGCAGCTTCTTGCAGAGGTGCCTTAAATCTAGATATTGCTGGAAAAGGAAACTGCTGGACAAGGCTTTTGTCTTCTATGAACTGTAAACCAAACCCCAATATTTTTCTTGCAGATACTAAATCTGGAAAGAATCCGCATGATCCTCTGACTAGTTAATTACTGTAGAAATTGCTGAATCAGGCAGGGTTTTTTTAAGTGTTCTTTACATTTGAAGGATCCCAAAGAAATCCCTCTAAGAACAGCTGGCATTTCTGGTGATCTGATACTTTTGCTTCTGGGAAAAGCAGGCAGCAATCAGGCAGCTCTGCAGTTACATGCCGTAATGAAAGGGGTGTGAAAAGCTTCAGAGTGAAGTCGCACGCGCTTTGCTCCCTTTCAACCAGCAATCCAGTCTTACGACCACAACTGTTGCCACACTAGAGTCCCGATCAATACAGTAATTGCACTCCACGAAACTAGGCAAATTTGGGGATTTTCTACATGCTAAAGTAGTAATCACACACACGAGTTACGTGAACACCCAAGGTGGAGCCTCAGCACGCCAGCGAGGGCCGATCAGCAGAAACGCTCGCGGAAGAGATGAAGCTCTTCCTCCAAAGGCCAACACGCAACAAGCAGCAGGAAACAACCTTCGAATTTCATGGGTTTGGGTATCTAGTAACCACAGTGTGCTGCACTGGATGCTTGGCCGGCTCATTTTCAAGTGGCAGCATGCTTTCCAACCATGTATCACGAGGGCTCACCGGTAAAATAAATACGCTGCAACTAATATGCCCATCACCGAGACACGGTCTGCGTATTTCTCCTCTCTCTGAAACAGCCGCTGACGCACCCAGGAGCAGGTCTGCACACTTGTGACTGGAACTGGAGTTCTCCCTCACTGCTCAGCTGGAATTTAACCTGCATTAACACATTCAAAGTATGCATAAGTGTTAATACGTCAGCTTGGTGTCCCCATTAACACCGTTGAACTGTTTAATAACCTACTGTCATTAAAGTACACCCAGGTACGGCATTGCATTTGGTCACTTCAGAGACAGAACGTATCTCTCTGGACAGGACTGCAAATATCAAACAGAATCTTACGAAAAATAAGCTCACTGAACAAACAGCAGCATTATTTGAATGGAAATGTGGAGTTGCTTAAGTAAAATCACCATCTTACTTCCTGAATGCGTCAACAAGATCAAGTTCTGTAGATCTTTTAGCAATATCAAGGTCTTCTAGTCACAGGCCCCATTGTGCTTTACCAAGATAGACAAGGGAAGGAAAAAAACCAAACCAGTCTTGTCTCTGAAAGATAAACCTTCCAAAGCCCGTGGAAATTTGTCTCAAGCAGAGAGAAACGGTGTCAACAAAGGTTAATATTCACCTCTGGTTTTGAACGTGCCAAAAGCTTTATCCTCGTTTGTAGGACATTCTGATGGAGAGACCTTAGACCAAACAACCCCTAAAAGCTCGTTAATTCCACCACCATTTTCTCTGCAACAGCTCAGGAACTTCAAGTCTCAGAGTGGAAGCCCGGTGTGGCAGCTAGTGGCCATTCCCCCCATGCAGATGTAAGGACAGTTGGGAAAACAAACGTGAACTTCAGCTCTGCACTACGGCCGTATTTTTTATCTCAGCCATGTGTTCAGGCCAGGCTAGAAACATGTGAAAACATAGTTTACCTGCAATGAGCTTATTCAGATTTTATGAGCTGGAACCTCTGCCCACCCCCAATATTCCCAAGTCCCTGCTGGTCCCTGCCATCCCACCACAGACTTAGCTCCCTCCCACATTCCCTGAAGCAAAGCAGCACGCTGCAAGTGCACTCTAACTGCCAAATTACAACTAATTTAAAAACTTTTGATAGCACCTGCATCCGGATAGTGAAAGGTTGTATTGTGCATTTTACAAGGCTCCTCAGTAGAAGACAAGTTGAAAAATGACAATATCAGTATTAGAGAAAAGCAGCCTCCCCTCCTCATCTTGCAGGTGTTCCACTGCAACAAGCAAAACGTGTTACTCGCCTCACTGCCAAGAAGCCCAAATCCCATTCATATTCCAAAGTAACACATTAGCAAAAAAGAATCAAGTGACCTCTTGATTTCTTTCAGTAACGTAATACCTCAAATCATTTTCAAAGGGACACGCTTTAGAAAACAGGCGACGAGTACGTGAACATTTTTAGAAAGCTCACACAAAACAAATCTTTATTCTTTGTCGCAGAAAATAAATACAGGTGCATATTTCATATGCTTTTCTATAAAAGCACTCCTACAAAATCACTTAACTGCATACAACAGTACAACCTTTTTGGCTTTCAAAATGCAAATATTATACAGTCACTTCATTTTATTATCTTTTAAAGCACTTGTAGCAAGCGGCTTTGGAAAAGGAATGCTTAATTTAGAAGCCAAATTCTTGCCTCAAGTGTTTTGTGGTTTTTTTCCATCATGTATATAGTGCAACTAACCTAAAAGCAACTAGAACAGTTTTTTGTAAAATGTTTATTCCCCACCCACCCCCGCAAAAAAAAAACCAAACCCTGCAAAGAAAAAGAATAGCTCTTAAAAACTGTTCTACCTCGATACTTAAACCAAGAGAAAACAAAAAGTGGCTCAACAGAAATATTAAGGTAAGCATGACAATGCTTCACAGCTCATTATCTGTTCGCTTCCAGTTTGGCCCGGGGTGTTTCTTGAGAATAAAAAGCATCATTAATCATCCAGTCCTATATTTCTGAAAAGGTACGACATCGACTCCCCGTTATGGATCCTGCGAATGGCTTCCGAGAGGATCATGCTGATATCCACAGTCTTGATTTTAGGGCACTGGAGTTTTTGTATTTCATGTGGAATCGTGTTTGTAACAACCACCTACAGAAAGAAAAAATGATCAGAAAGACGTAGCTCCATTATGCTTTCTACCTCCCTTATTAGAACTGCAAAAGGGAATGTCCACGTATCCATGGATACTAATGGCACTGTCCTTCCTCCCCTTCATTCTGCCACGCAGGTCCAAAGGAAAGTACAAAAACATCCCCCACACTGAGGGGAAAAGTCTGTTAATATTGGCAGTCTGTCATCTCACTACCTCCCTAGTTTCCCATTGCTGTAGTTTAAGGACACACAGATGCTAATATTCTAGTGTACAACTCCAGGGTAAGAAAGCCTGAACCCAGGATCCTTCCAATTAAATTCTTAATGCCAGTATATTTTAATAATCAAGTTGGGAGGAAATTGCTTGCTTAAAAAACCCAAAACTGTTTGATCACAAATTCAGAATCCATGCTTACTTCATCGATTGCAGATTCCTCTATCAGCCTGGGAGCGTCTGAAGATAACAGGCCATGTGTGGCCATTACAAAGATCTTGTAAGCCCCCCTCTCCTTGAGGGTCTCGGCTGCAGCAAGAAAACTGTCAACGTCATCTATAATGTCATCCTGTCAAAATAAGATAGAGTCAGTAAAGATTCACCACGTCCTCAGACAGATCAACACAGCGCACGCAGATTGTCATTACATCTTCAAGTATAACAGTTCACAGCCAACACAAAATGGGCATTTTCACTGATGCTGTTCTTCAGACACCTCAGCTAGATGGTTAAGTGTGAAAGAGTGGAAAAGCAGAGTGTCCAAAACCACTGTAACATCAAGGGACAGAGGGACTGGTCCTTGAGGGGAAGAGGGAAAAGCAAAGACAACTGACATTTATTTAAAAAACAAACAGAAAACCACCCTTCTCCACAACAAGACCCAAGATTGCACTTTACTTTAGAGAAACCATAAGATTGCATCATCTCTACTGGCGTTTCTAAACTGACAGAATGGAAACACGATGATTTTCCCCTAATGTGATATATAAACACCACCTGTAAATCTTCGCATTTGGGCAAGCACTTGAACAGAATTTTACCTGGCCTATTCAAAGAAACAAGGTCCAAATCCTGCTCTTCAGCACAGCTCACACGGAAGTGTGAGGAATACTTCAGGAAGTCTGCAGAATACTACCTCGTGACATAAAAAGTGCAGAATCAGAAGTCCACCATCAACCAAAGTTTAGCTGCTAATACTGCAGAATATCTAACTTGATTTCTGCAACTTGAATATGTTTAATATAAATTATCCGAAGTGATGGCACCTTACTTACCACGATGATAGCTATTCTTCCTCCTACGTCTCCAACAACTGTGATGGGTGGTTTTTCCTTGGGAATCAGCACTGATTAACGGCAATTTTTTTTAAGAGGGGTAAAAAGAAGAAAGAAAGTTTATGCAATTTACTTCGAGTGTGGAAATATCAGCTTTGCATGGGTCACCACTGTTACAGAGGGAAGTGAAATAACCATCACAACTTTGCTCGGAAGAAATCGCAGGATCTTAACATACATGATTTTTTTGTAAGCTCAGTCAAAGTGTTAACTACATTCATTTACACACAAATTCTTAACCAATTCAATTAATTCTTAATTTTAGCACAGAGACTAGAATGGCTTGCAGACACAACCAGTTCAATCACCCTACTGAGATCCAGGCCAGGTTTACGCAATCAAGTTTTGCTTGTGCAGCTATAGATCACATCCACGTTCAGCAAGGTTACTCTGTCAAAGCCCATGGACATTACATAGCTACACACAAAACTAGCGTCAGCTCAGCTTATTAGCTCTGCGTCCCAGAAAAATTCCAAGAGGAGAAGTAAATGGCAAAAAGTGGGGCCTTTCTGCCAGGGGCTCTTCTGACTACGCGTAATGACACAGCCCCTCCTACACAGGACACAGACCTCACACATACAGCCTAGCACTAAAATCAGGGATAAAGAGCATCAAAAAGGAATCTTTTTCCACCCTACTAAGAAAAAAGGAACCTTCTTTCCCCCCTAAAGAACCACTCCTTTTTGATGGGCCATCACTGCCAGCCCCATTCCCCAAACCCACAAACAATAGGCAAACACTTTCTCACACAAACTTACTTACTGGGTATCTCCAAACTGGGATGAATAGCAGCTATATTTTTGGCTGTAGGTGGTGAGTGTCGGCCATCTACCATGTCAGACTCTGCATCTTGAGCTTCCCCATGAATCACAGCAATTCCCAACCGCAAGCGCTCAGCAAATGACTGTGCCCTGTAGAAAAAGTATTAAAAACAAAACAAAAAAATAAACAGAAATACGTTACATTTAAAATAATCCACACACATACAATCCTAATCTATTTCCATTTTATTTCTAATGTTTCAGAGGGAAAATTGAATGAACCTAACATTTTACAAAAACACATAGAAGAAAGCACTTGCCCCTTAGTATCTCGTTTTCATCAGGCTTATGAGAGTCAGAATTACCTGAAAGTACTCCTACTGGCCTTAAAGCAACAAGATAAACACTGCAAATCACATAATTCTGATTATTCCCTTCTGTTTTGCCCAACAGTCAAAAACCTTTTTCCTAGCCTTCAGCATTCTTGAGATTCCATGCTTTAGCAGGTCTCATCTAACAGTAACCAAGAACAGCCTAGATGTCTGGATTGTCTACATTTAACAGGAAAAAAAAAATATTCACATGAAAACAGAAAACAATGTTCACCTATTTATTTTTAGCAAGATGTGCACTAAATAAAGACAATATTCCTGACCTCCTGACACATAACCTTAGATATCCTTCAGAAAAGAAAATCCAGATGGTCATTTTGCCTGACAAATCACACTTCAAAGTTAAACAGCTTGGATTTTTACAAGCTTACAAAAAGTTCCTTCATCATGCAGTATTTCTCTGAATAAAATTAGAAATTTATGTAAAGAAGTATAAGGTTAGCTGGGGGAGTGGGGAAAGCAGAGAGTCAGGAAAATAGGATTTTCACAGATACGCTTGTATCCCAGATACTGGAAGCAGCAATTAAAATTAGTAGATTCATCCTACCTTACTTGCACACCCCACAGCTTGGTATCTAGCCTAAGCCAGTGATCTAGTCTCCTTATGGCCAAAGTGAGCCTGGCACGTCCAGGGTGAGTCACTTTGTCCTAACATCAGCAACTAAGACCTGTGGCCTGAATCACCTTTACACTTAAGCCTTGTTCCACTACCCAGACAACTCAAAGTACAGAGAACAATTTGCCCATCATGATGCTCAGTTAATTAAAAATGAAGAATCTTCTGCCCTGTGGTTATCATACCACTAGGATATTTTTTCAAGTAGTTAATTACAGATAAATTATGATTCCAAACATTAAGAGTTAAGACTTAGAAGGCATAACCCTATCAACAAAACCATAATAATTACTTTAAAATGTAATATTAAACTGCATAAAGTTCAAAGTAACAGTTAAAAAAAAAAAAAACACAGAACTTCATCTTTCACGAGTAGGCATTCATGTGAAAAGTGGTTTCCTTCATTAGGTTGAAACATTCAATCACCCTTTTTCAAATACAACGTACCTCCTCAAATACTGCTTGTAAATGCTGACATGTACACGTGAAGAAGCTAAACAATACAATTCTGGGATCCTCTCTTACACAGACCAGTTAACCTGTGCAGCTTATCTGTCTGATCAGTTAAAGGCATGTGCGGACTATTGGCTGTCATGTACAATTACTTGATGAGAATGAAAATGCTCCAGCAAATGCCTGCCTACACCCATGAGGCAATACTGACATCAAATAAAAGAAGCAGTCAGACAAGCAAATGTAAAGTAACTAGCCAAAACAAAAGAAATCACGTAAAAAGTACTGTTGCAAAACAAAGATGACGAAATGACGAAAGCTGTTCCCCTCGCTATACTTCTACAAATTAAAGTATTTCTGATTTGCTATATAAAACAAGAAAAACCTTTCTCAGAAAGAGTATCACGATTCCTTGGCATGAGTCTAGATAACTTTTCAACAAACTATTAGTTTGTCACCATAGCAAATACAGTATCTCTTAAACCAACTCTTAAATCCAACTCTTACACCACCTGCTGAGAGCAGTGTCATTCCAAAGAGTTTACGAATAGTCAACCAAAAAGCTTCATAGATTAAGAAAAGTTGTTCAACCAACAAGGACTTCACAATCGAAATCATCTCAAACATCAAATCCTGTTTCACCATGCTACATGGTAAGGTATCTATATTTAGGATCTGATCAACCATGTTCTAGGTTATGACCATGTTAAGCAATTATTTTGGACTAATGGCGTTATTCTTCCAGCCATTTTTCTTCATTTACAGGAGGAAATTTATAATGTAAATGTGCACAAATATAGTATGATTAAATACCTTCTTTATCCTAAACACTGTATTGATTTACCTCATCCCTTTGTTTCTACAGATTTTCGCTCTCCTTAGATTTATTGTGGTAATAGAGATGATGTAAAGACTAGAAATCTGACAAAGTGGAATTGGGAGGGATTTGAAGGCTGCATCTTCTAATTATTGGGTATTTGTCCTTCACTTGATCCTAAGAACAAAATCATGATAGAGATTTCCTGCTCTAACATAAGAGAGCAGATCTTACCCACCTCTTTGCAGACGCAGGTGATTTGGCCACAATTACAGCATTCCTGTAGTCTGGTATCTGTAGTAAATAACAGATAGCAATGTCTACTTCATATCGTTAGACAAATTTACTCAGTAAGAATCAGAGAACTTTACTTTGCCAGAAGATTTTTAAGCATCAAACATTTTACCTAACATATCAACGCAACCTCAATAATCCACGGTACATGGTCAGAGTTCACGGCTCAGTAAAAACAGGTACTTTGAAAATTCAGATATTAACTTAAAACTGTACCTTTCATAAATGCTATGTTATATTACATATTGCACAAAAGTAACTGCTTTAGAAGAACATCAGGGCTACGCAGACGTGATAAAAAAAAACAGGATACCATCAAAATTAAAGTTTCCTGTTCAACTTACAATTGTCTTGCACGTGCACACGGCAGTCTTTTTAATCACTGGAAAACACAGCATTTCATCTATTTCCTATTAATTCTCAGAGTAGACCAACAAAAGAAACACCTCTCCATTTCGAGGTCTGATGGGTACTTCAGTCAGTTTTCACAAGCACAATCTACTGCAAAATTTGCTGCCCCTGTCCCATTCTCATACTGGCTTTTCACTCCGGACTCCTCCTCTCCATTTAGCCACCATTTTAGTCCCCATCTCTTAAAAGTTTCTTATCTTAGTCTCAATCTTCCCTGCAGTGACTCCACATCAGACTCATCTTCTCTTATCCAGAACTTCTTGAGCATCCCACCATTCTCATTTCCAGTCTTCCTCTCGAACAGCAACCTATGTTCCCTCTAACATCTCACCTTACCCCATTCCCTACAAACTCAGCATTTTCCTGTGCTGCCCTGGGACGACCTGTTTGCCACAAGAGCAGCAGGGAACCTGCCTGTCCTTTAGCAGTTGTCACAATGACAGTTCACAGCCACTCTCAGCTACAACAGTAAGCGAAGTCCTACAGAGCAGATCCAATCCTCAGAATCCCCATGTTAAGGGACAGAGGACTCTTTACTAAATACCTGCAAATTGATCTGCTACAGTTGTAATTTCACAAATATGGAGGGGTGATACCCTGACATGCAGTTCATCACCTTGCTGTCAGATGTTAAATACCAGTTCCAGAGCACAGAAATACTTGGGTTTTTTCAACCACAAGCAAGGCAGGTTCTTCCACAATCTTATCCTCAAACATATAAACCACGCTGGCTGAATATTTTCAAAAGCAGTCTACCTGAAATAGGCATGGGAAAGAAAAAATTGAGTTCTGAATTTGGACATGGGCCCAACCAACTGGAAACAAGAGCTTTTCTGAGGACGTGTCAGGCAACATTAATAATCCGCAATGCTACTAACTCCACCTATAATACTGAGAATTCAGCATGTTCTGCCCTTTACAAACACTTAGTTATACAACTAAGGCTACAAAGATTAGCATGATGGAAGGTATGGACAAGGCAGGGCCTGCCACGACATAATAAAGGCTTTGATCTTGTTCAGACATCATTACTTCATTTTTCTCCTGCCAAATTAACAAATTTGTTCTCAGCTCTTTAAAAATTAAGTCAGAAAGACAGAGATGTCATCCGAAAGATAGTAAGACATCAACAACTTGTAAAAAAGAGCTATGCCACTCTAAGATTAACATGCATGCATAGGAAAGAGAGAAGACACTAAGTACTGAACATTTGCTAAGCATACAAAGGAAAAACACCAAATTACTTTTATACCACATTTCACTTGCTGGACTGCCTTCATCCCCGAACGCCAGGTAATTCTCTTCAGAACTATGCATAAATTCCCGACAGGGAACAACTACAAGCCCTCATCTTCTTAACTTTCAGTGAAATGCTTTTTAAGTGACCTCCATTCTTATCAAGCTGGACTCTATTTCATGCTACGCAATACACCCCACCACAACTCCCATCTGAAACTCTTTTCAAGCTTTGGCATTCACAATGCAGGATATACAGCAAGTTGCTGCCAGCGTGAACCTGAGATGAATACTAAATTCTTCCTGACCAGCATTGGATGAAACCTTTAAGAAAAGATTCTATAAATAACCTGGCTGGTTAAGGTACTTGCCAATATAGATCCTGTGTGATCAGATACATTCATTCAACTCTAGTTGTAGCAAGTCATCTCATGGACAAGCAGAGGAATGAAGAAATGAAAAACTGAAAGTATCTTCTAAGACCTCTCTACACATACTTCAGCAGGTCTCTACAAATGTTCATTTGTTAGACTGCACAGCAGTGCCAGCCAGACTCAAAGCTGCAACACTTCTTTGCAAACCATTAAGCGTTCACATATCAAAATGTGCTTCAAGACTAAACCAGGAACATGATCTTATCATCAACCATAATCCATATGTTCAACCAACATATAAAGGCAGAACTTGTCTTGTGTCTGTATATTTGGCTTTCCATGTTTTTTTAATGTATGAAGTGCTAACGATGTGCAATGCTTCCCTCCTGGTATACAGGATGAATGACCGTGGCAAAGCCAGAGCCTGGAGTTTTGTTCTATCATCCTATTTGACACTACTACCAAATTAAATGATAATGATAGATTCAAATGGTACCTCATTCCCCAGATTTTAACAGTCATAACAAAATCATGTCAGTTTGGTTTTGATTTTTTGCTTGTTGTTTTTTTGTTTTCGTGTTTTGTTTTGGTTTTGGTTTTTTTTTTTTTTTCTAACTGAGGCATCCATATATCCAAAAAATAAATAGCTTGGATTCAAAAGCAGGTGTGAGCTAAACCTCTTCTCTCACCAGGAAGAAAGCATTTGCTTTATTCCAGATTATCATTAGTCAGAGACATAATATGCATCTCATACCTACAATTATCATTTGCACAATTTGTATATATGAATCTACCAGTAGCATTTCTCAAAGCACTTATAAAAATAAGAGGGAAAAATGGACGCACAGAACATTAGAAGTTAAGCTCCTCAAGTCAAGACATGCTGAACAAACAGCAAGTGAAGATTGCCACAGAAGTCATCTGTTCTTACTTTCAGAATATGATTGATAGGTGCTGTCATAGTTTACAACTTAACTTCCAAACTTTTCATAATGCGATATAAATTACACCTACATAAATAGTCCATCCTATAAATGTTAAGGAAGTTGGAAATAGGACAGGAAGATGCTATCCAGAGCAAGAAAATCCTCATTCTTTTCAATACCAGTTAGGGAAATATATCTAAGACAGAACAGTGTTGCTGCATGGATAAGAAAACACCAGCCCTTCATGAAAGTAAAACTTAAGCCTGTGGGGAAGAAAAGAACCAACTGCTCCAACACCACTCCCTGCCCCAACATGACCTTTTCCCCTTTAAAATTCTGTTTGAAGAGTTAGTCTTTTCAGATTAATTTGTTTCAGAAGCCTTGAGACATGACAAAAAATAATTTAAAAAACAAACTGTAATAACAGGTCTTCCTCACCTCTTCTTGAATGTACTGTAGTAAAAATGGAGATGCTCTCAAATTATCAACTGGAATATTGAAAAAGCCCTGTATTTCCTTCTGATGTAAATCCATCGTAATGAGATGAGTTAGTCCTTAAAAAATAAATAAAAAAACATATGGAGAAGCACATCAAGAGAAGTAAGAGCACAACAGACACACTCTTCATTTCTCTACTAAGTTTCACTGAAGTTGGTCCAGAACAAAATCTCTAAGCTGCATTAGAACAAGAATATTACACTATGTTAATATGCCATGCACTTTCACAATGTCCCTCTTAAGTGCATCAGCACTATCATGTTTTCAGATTTCTACAATGTCCTTTTAAAATGAACCTCAGAACACTCCACATAATTGACTCAGTAGTGCCACACTGAGGCAGGGAAGATCTTTCTCCATTCGACATGACAAAATGGAATCACTAGTAAGATAAATTGTCCTATGCCACATAGCAAAACCCCGGAACAGCTAACATTAGAGTCCTGAATTCCTGAAAAATGGGCCCAAATCCTAATCATTGAAACACTTCTCTCAAAATAAGAAACCAGATCTCACTGTGTTCATTGTAATTGCCCGTTTTTCCCAGGGACAGGAGCAAAAGGAAAGGAGCAGAAAATGTGTTGAAAGCTGTGAAAATGAATAATCTCATTCTCCCACATCATCCCAAATGTGTAAAGGACAGATACAAAGTGCATTCATCCAAGAGATAAAAAACAGGCCAGAAATGACAAAGCACAACTGATTGAGAGTGTTGTAAAGGCAAAGAACAGTATTATGAGAGATGGATACCATGGCCCAAAGCAGCAGAGTCCAGCAGACTTCATTTTGCCAGCTCAGTAGGACAATGTAAAATGGCTGTGACAGGTTTGGGTTTTTTTATAAACTCATCATTCTGAAACATTTCTCTAATTACGTTCTCCTTTCTACGTGGGTTTTAAATCCATGAAAAACTTGGCAGTTACTTTTAAACAGAGTCCAAACTTACTGCACAGACCTCTCTAAATCTGAAAGCTGACAGCAGGAGCCCCGACTGCCCTGATTATTTCATAACAACCTGCATTCTTACCAGCTTTGCACATCATTGAAGCCAGTAATTTAGAGACAATGGAGCCCCTTTTCCTCATCTTGCACTGTTTGCTGTACGGGAAGTAAGGAATCACTCCAATAATGCTTTTGGCACAGGAGGTTTTACAGGCATACACCATGATCAGGAGTTCCATGATCGTTGTATTCACATCCCTGGAACAAGAAGCATCTAGTTCTGTATCTTGTGCATAAAAATCCTGTATCCAACACAATAATTATACCCACTCCAGGGATTTCACTCCGGGGCAGCAGAGAGCACGGTGACTGAGCGATCTTCACTAAGAATGCAGCTGTGCACCTCAGGTCAGCAAATGCCCTGGACCCAGCATTTTAATTCTTCACTACAATTACACTTTTTTTTTTTTTTTTCCACTTGCCTATTTTGGGCAATTCAGCAGTTTTTGTTATACCATTTTCAGGCTTTTATTACAGCAACATGCTGTATTACTAAAGTAGTCCATGATTTATCTCCAACATCTCTTTCTATTGTGCACAAAACAAAACAGATATATTTTTCGATACAGATAAGCTTTTTCTTTAAAAAAAAAAAAAGCTTCAGGCTTTATAACATACTCCTCTCTTGTTCAAGCCAACAGCAGACTAAATATTTAACAATTACCATCTATTTTTTGCCATAAATGAAAACATTGAGATTTTTTTTTTTTTAGATGAGAAGTGGTCATGAACTAAGACAGCTTCTGTTTCTGTTGCCACTAGAAAGAACATCTTATCCTCTGTAAAGTTCTTTTCACATTAAAAAAAAGTTGTTTTCTCAATCACAGGACACATTGCCTAGGAAATGCTCCTCCCACATTTACAACTTTGTAACGGTGCTGGAGACAGGTAGCTGAAAAGGGAAGAATTGAAAAGAGAATGACATAAGCAAAAGAATGCACTTAGCGAAAGAATGCAGAGACCCAGGGATTAAGTTTCATTGACACATTCACTGAAAATTAAAATAACAGAGGTTAGCTTATACTGAAGTCGTCTTTGTGCACATATCAAAAAAGCCCAGAACCCACAAAGAGAAGCCTCTATCTAGTTAATCTAAGCTTATTATACTGTATCATATACATAAAATGTGAAGAAAAATTAAACCAGAAGCATTCCTATGGACAGACCATGTCAAAATGCTAGCACAGTGTCTTTAAACAGTTACTCACTTTGAAACTGTTTGGATGATAAATACATCCTTTCCTCTCACAGACTCCTGAATCTGCACTCTTGTTTCTGCCAAGAAGAGAAACATGTAATATTTGCAATAGCAAAACTCAATAGAGTGTAAGAAAAGGGTGGCCAATATATGCACATCATAGTTATACAAGTTTCCAGTTTTGACAATTAAATGCTCACCTCTGTTTGGCTCTTGATAAACCTGAACCTTCCCCATCTCAACTCCTAAGCGCCTGCAGGAGCAGAAAAAAGAAAAGTAGAAGTCAATATGGGAAAATGAAGGGTAAAACAAATGCAAAGCCCATACAATACAGTAGCTACTGAAAAGGCTACATTTCACAGGAGGAAACCAAGAAAAGAAAATCCTAAACCATAAAATCAGTAATTATAGTGGAAATCTTTTGAAGCATCTACAATATCCAGACGCTGTACTGCAAGCTAAGCTAAACTCATTTTTCAAGTCAAGCTCAGAAGAATAAGCAGCGGCAAAAAAATAATGCTTGATTACTAACCCATGTAACAATTTATGATTTTTTAATATATATTTCTATATACATTCAATACATGCTGACAGATATACATGTATATACTCTGTAGAAAACATATCCATGTAGAATAAATATAAATACTTGCGAGCTCTATTCAACAAATAACGGAAGGCTAATACTTGAAAAATGGATGGATGCAGCTTTGCTGTCTAAGAAAACCTAACTACAAGAGAATACAGAAATGATAAAAACTTCTGTCATGATTATTTAACATTATTCAAACATTATTTTTCCCACGTGTTCTCTATAACATACTGCAGCCAGTCACAACCTGCCACTGAATAATCTAAGCACAAGTTTTTTGTTACTGATCTGTTGAAACACACTGTGCAATACAGGACACTAGATGTTCTTGCAAACGATGGCAATTTTCCCATCCACCTTTCCTTAAACAGAGAAATCAGCCCTTACTAAAATAAGTCCCATCATAACACTAAGATCCTAAGCTGCCCTGCAGGAGATTTTACTTACTCAGCAATCCTCTTCGATAGTTCCATGCATGATGAATTGGAATTAGCTGAAAACAGCACCAGTCCACCCTTGGTTATATTCATGATGGCCCCAATTTCAGTTGATGGCACACAAAACATCAAACCTAAGTTGTTTTTCCGCTTCTAAAAGACTGCAAGAGATCAAAGGTCTGTTAAAGCCACAATGTTAAAAACAAAAAAAAACCCACAAATTTTCTTTGTTTAGAAAGTGAAGTTTCCCATAAGCCTGTATTTTCCAGCATCCTTAGTTTTTGTTATCATCACTTTAATAGTACCAAGAATATACCCTTACAGAACATTGTGACCCACAAGCCATACCATTCCCTGCCCCAGCTCAGCAAGCACAAACAACCGGACTTCAGCCTGCCTGGCCTTCCTTCTCCTGACCCCAGGCTTCACACACCCTCCAGCAGAATGCTTCCCTGGAGGCCTCCAAAGAGCCCCCTAGACAACCTCCTAACTCCAACAGGTCTTTTCCTGGGGTTGTTTGGGTTTTGTTTTTTGGTTTGTTTTTTTTTTTTTTTATTTTAAAAAAATGTTTTCCTCGGACTATCATCTAGTAACACAGACTCTCTTTTCTAGCAGCTTGTCCAGTTCATTTTCTGGAACTGAGCAACGTTTATTGACCTTTTCAAGATCACAAAGCCAGTCAGAGGTAGAATTGAGCTAAACAGAGCTCCTGGGTCCTGGCTCTGCTAAACTAGCTAGAAGAGTCTATTTCCATAGCTGTGTATCTTTCCATCACTTTGCAATAAATTATAAACTTACAAATAAGGATGAAATGTAAGGAAGAGTTCAATAGAGCTGGTAGCTGTAAATAATGACCTCTTGCACAAGGCATCCACTTGGTGAAGCAGCTGTTGTCATTCTTTGATACTAATATTTCTCCTATAAAAACAGGAGAAAAATATCAAGAGGAAATATAAACAGTTTTTTTCTAAATAAAGGCATAAACCACTAATCCATCTTGATACTTTTTATTCTTTGTAACATCACATTTTCATGACTACTTCTACTATAACATTTTGTTCAAATAAAGTAAATAAATAAATCACATTGACCAGGAGTCACTGATAGACCAAAGCAGCATTAAGATCAAAAAGGCCTGCACTCCACTTCTGTTGTATAAATAGTCCAGTCCTTCATCATCCATTTTAGCATTATGTTGGGGACTGAAAATATCAAATACAAGTGGCATAATTCAAAATGAGGTAAATAGAAGTTAGGATAAATCAATAACTTATTTCCTGGCAAACATCTCCCTGCTAAAAAACATAATTATCTAAGTCACACATAATATGTTCCAAAAAACTAATGGTATAACAATTATTGAATACTCCAAAACAGCAACTAAAAGAAAAACAATAGTTTTCATACTTACAGGAACAGCTGGCTAGCTCTATAAAGAAACTTGTTCAGCCCACCTTTGCAACTAGACATATTCTTGCTTGGTTTGACCTCATCACAGAAACTGTACCTGATTCATTCTCAGTTAAAGACAAAATCAAGTCAGGAACTTCCTAACAACAAATCTCTTCATGAAGCATTTATGCTGCTCTCAACTGCTGTGAATGAAAACCTCCCTGTCATCAAAACTGCCGAACTGCACAGAAAGAGAGCACAAATAATGACAATTTCAGCAACAGAATTTGAAACCCTTGATGTTGACTCTTCTGGAACCTGGTGTACCCCCCTATACCACCAAAGCAAGACTCCACTTCTTTCAACCTTTGCTTTCAAACAAGATTAAAAAAAAAAAAAATCCTACAAGATAGTATGGTTACAGACATCCAGTCTAAAGCTCAACTAAATCCTTATATCCCTCCCAAACTAAGTACTCAACAATTTAAAGAGAATTAAAAACCTATTTCTTAGCTCCTTTGTTTCCTCCTTTGCTCCGCTGCACACTTACTCTCTGTAACTCCCAGCTGTTAACTAACAGCCATCATCCGTCAAATATCCATAATGGTGTTAAAGATACAACTTAAATCCAAAGTGAGCACGTATTAGAAATGCTTTTAGGTCTCAACCACCACCTGAAAGCACCCTGCTTGTGTGATTAGACAGGAACAACAGACACTTTCAATGTTACTAAAAATATTCACATGTGTTTTGGAGGCACAGGGTTCTTCCCAGTTGTGTTACCTTCTTTGCTCCATGGATTAGAGAAACGAGAGTTAAGAGATCTGCTGAAAGACAAGAGGTGTTGGTTCCCAATTATTGTTCAGGGTGCATTTTACACCAGAGTAAGACATTTGACATATTCACAAGCAACACTGAACATAGCTCTTCACATAACCGTGAGTCAAGGGTTTTCTTGCTGATGTACTTCAGCAGCAACAAGTGGACTACAAGTGGACTAGTGTGTGTGGGGAGGGAGGTTGCATTCATAGAGTAATATTGATGTTTCAATCTTGAAACAGGTGTTGGGATGACAGCAAGATCACAAAACTTTATTAGATGTGTGAACACATGACTCCACAAGGGTACATGGGACCATAACCCTCTGGCTTGAGGTAGACTAATCTTCCAAACCTGCATCAGATTTGGGAGAACACATACACCACAGAGTAGGCTGCAGCCCACAAACTCCTACCCTTTTCTTTTGGGCTGCACACAATTACACAGACACATCATGATGAACACAACAATTACTCGACTGGGTACACATGATGCCCTACTCCCACTGGCTTTATACCTCCATGAACTGAGCATGTCTGCACAGAAAGCAGCAGAGGCAGGAATACCTGCACGGGATAACCATGGCACTAAAGAATTGATGCCCACGGGCTGGAGGGAAACTGAGCCCTCACCCATCTCCCCGAGGGGAATTTCCCCAGCCCAGAAGGGCCCTCCGCACTAACTTATCCCCCTGGGCTAAACAGGAGAGGGTCGATCCTTCCACCCCACACCTCCCTACGAGTCTGCGGCTCCAGGTGGGTTACACACGCACTGGGAGGGGGAGCCCGCCCAGGCACTCCAGAGTACCTGAGGATCCCCTCCCTACTCCCGGGGCAGAGGCCTGGGCACGCCGCAGCCCCCTGCGCCGGAGCGAACCTGTAGGGCTGGCGGATGGCGAGGAGCCCCCGGCAGCTCAGGAAAGGGTCCACCCCACTCCCACAGGGCCCCTGAGGGGCCGGCGACGAAGCCGGTTCCTCAGGCGGCGGAACCCTGTGTGGGGGAGAAAACGCCGGGGAAGGGGGAGGATGTCCTGCCCTCCCGCAGCCGGCTGAAGTGGGCTGGGCGGGCGGGCGTGCCCCTTCTCTTGAAGGGCCTTACCTGCCGGCTCCGGCCCCCCGGCCCCGGGAGAAGGCAGCCCGGCCGGAGGGGAGGGGGAGAGGGCAGAGGCAGCGGCGGAGCTCAGCCCCTCACGGTTGTCCGCTTGCAAGATGGCGGCGCCGAGGGAGGGAGGGAGGGAGGGCGCGCGGGGGGCGGGCGCGAGGCGACGCCCTCCTCCCCCCCCCCCCCCCCTCCCGCCTCCCCCCTTCCCGCCACGGCCTCGGGGCGCGGCTGACGGGCGCCGCCGCCATCTTCCCCCCGCGATGCTGAGGGCGGGCGCTGTGGGGACCGCGGTACCAACGCCGGATTTCAGCTTTCCCCCCCCCCCCCCCCAAAAAAAAAAAACAACCAACCAACCAACAAAAAACACCACGATGAGTGCGGGACTGTCGCCCACCCGGGGTTGCGAGAGCCCCGATGCCAAGTCCACGGGGCATAAACCAGCCGACGTCTGCAAGGTGCCAGGTTTCGGAGCTCCCACGCCCGTATCTCTTGTCAGAGGGACGGCCGGCCATCGCGCTGCTCTGGGGGGCACCGCCACAGCAGTGGGTCCTCGCCACCCCCAACGGGCACCGGCTGGCCTTTGCCATCAGACCTAGCAGCCTTCATAGGGAAGGAAGCTTTTCTGGAAATAAATTAAGAAAAGAAACGATCAGTGCTCTCTCAGTTCCCTTATACTGTCAAGAGCATACGTCATTTGTTCAGAGTCCCCTATTGGGGCCCTCCTTGCAGCATATATAGGTTAAACTGGATGAAGATGCTTCTGACATCTACAGCGAGCCACCGGATTTAATCACCCCGTTTAACAGCTCAGCTTCATCACAGAACAGCACCCATCACAAAAGTTGTGTCCTTTCACCGCTTTGACAAAGTTACGTCATCCTGCACAGACACAAGGAGGGTAAAGCACTCGCCAAGGCCCCCCTCCCCTAAATCAAAAAAACAAGCACCGTGTTTTCACACTGAGTAGCTAGAAGCCGTTTTAAATTACACTTTTCAGTATGCCCAAGATAAATACCATTTTATGGATGAGAATTTTAGCGTTTAGCATAAAAGTACAAATTGGGTACTTTCTGCTGCAGCTTTTCTCACAAAAAGCAATTAATTACTGCTGGACTGCAGGGTGCTTTGGAGCAAGGCCTTGAGCAACCCAGAAGATACTTCTGTCTGCTGACCTTACCCTGAAAGAGGAAGAAAAGCCACAGCTGCCCCAGACTGCTCACCAAACGTGCCTGCAAAAGGACAACATTTAGATTCATATTTTGAAACTGCAGTTTCTGCCATTACAAACTGCATTTTCCATTTTAAATATTCACGGGTCAGTGTTTCCCCATATTTCACAACGTGCTTATTGCTTCATGCATTCCAAGACCTCATCAATTGTCTCCTTTTTTGCCTTTTCAACAGACTGGGAGCTGGGGAAGGAGAGCAATTTAACCTGGAGCCACTGAGCAGCTGCCAGATGTAGAGCACTCCACTTGCAGCGCTCGCACGAAGCAAAGACATCTGTTTGAAGTATGTGAGCAGAGGGGCCATAAGCCTCTTTGTACCCTCACCGAGATGCAGCAATGATTCTCTGCCTTTCCTAGAGTCTCTTCTGAATTATACTTAAGCATAAGAGAATAGACCTCTCCCAACACCTTGCCGCTCCCACCGTTCTCAGTCTGGATTTTTCTGCTTACAGGCTGGTGTTTCCCCAGTTGATTCAGGATCATTGACCCTAGTAGGTTATTGTTTTGGCTTGTTTTGTGGCTTTTAAGACAAAGGGGAGGGGGGTCCGGGACTTTTTGTTAACCTCTTCACAGAGCAGAGATTTCTCTTAGCATCAGCGTTCATCATGGGGTTTCACTACAGGCTGGTATGACAGATCAGTTTAAGGCAGAACAGCTAGAAACAACACGTGGTGAAGCACTGACCCATAATGCAATTAGCAGCCTTCCCCAGAAGCATTTTTCAATACCCTAGGGCACCTAGAATTTGCTGACTATTTTATTCATGCTGCCTCAAATTCCTGACATTGCTCAGGCAAACTACAGGACCAGGAGCTAAAAGGTTCTGTCTTCTGATCCTTTTTATAAGGTTACTGCCTTTGTTTTCTTAGAGCAAATCAATTCCTTTTCCATCTCTGTTTTCCTGGTCAGAAGAAAGCAAGTTTAAATCTAAGCTCCCAAGGGAGAGGGATTTGTTAATTTTGCAATATGCTATCCAAACACTAAGAGTTTAACAAATAGTTGCTCCAGGTTGAGCACCTGGATTTTATTTCATTTACAATGATTTAATTAGCTGTCATCTAAGGAATTCTGAAAATTTGTTGGTTGTGAATATACTGGCTCACAGAGATTTGTTGTTCTTAACCTAGATGCAACCCTGACAGAGATGTGCAAAAAACCCCCACCTAGTCCAGCCAAGGTGAAGGGCACTGCTCATCCCATGCTTGGCTGGACGACAGCCTGCATCCATCACCTGAGAGAAGACAAATGCTACTGTCATCCAGTCTCCTGAGCTCCATCCATCACTGCTCAGCCAGGTTGGCTTTTTTTGTTTCAGGCTGTTTTTTTTAAAAAAAAGGTGGATGTTAAAATTTACCTACTAAACCACCTGACAGCAAGAATTATCAGACATGATACACCCAGAAAAAAAACAACAACAACAAAAAAAAATTTTATTTGATCCTCACAGAGCCCTGTGAATAAGTTTGGTCTCTCCCAACAGTTGGTCCTACGAGGCATCCCGAAAGCATCCTCTACCCTGCACAACCCCTCTGAGCCTGCTGGGAGGCTCTGCAGCCCCCAGGTACACCTCCCCGCTGAGCACAGCCTCAAGGTCGCCACCTCCCTCATCCCCTGCTTTCCACTTTACTGCCTTCGGAGAAACCGTGTCTGATTTCCAGAAGATGCTGGCTTGGGTATCACCCAGATAGGAAGGTAGAACTCAAAGTGATTATAAATGTATTTCTGAATCAAGGGAGGGAGAGAGTAATTTTATAATTTCTTCAGAGTGATCTGGAAAATAGCATTCCCTGCATCTGGGAACCAAAGTGCCTTTAAAAAAGCCCTGGAGTAGAGAACACATCTCATCTATGCAAAGAACTATGTAGGTAGATAGCACTCTCTTACTGTTTTATCAGATATGACTGTCTGGCCACGGCTTTGCCATCTGCAGGAAATAGGCACCAACTCATTCTGTTACAATCCCGTTCCTCCTGAGTCATGAAGTTTTGTCTGAAAGACTCACCGAGTTCATTTTTTTTTTTTTCCTGTTTCTGACCGTGCTCTCAGTTCCGGGTCAGTCTGCAATGACTAACAGATCTGCCGTATCAGCTTCAGCACAGGCACAGGGGTTATCTTCAACCAGCCTTCAAACAAAGAGACAAGAGGCTTGTTGGAATATCCAGTGTTTAACAGGTCACTGCGCAGACAAACGTCTCAAGCTGGATGAGAGGGTGAGGGTTTGAACAAACACTGCCCTAAACCAAGAACCAGCAGTAGTGCTTTCTGCTTTGTTTGCAAATTCCCTTTGCTTTGCTGTGTTTGCGTGCAGGTCTGTCCAACAAAGTCTGCCTGACATCCAGTTAACATCCATCACCTTCTGTTTACAGATGTGGTTTGCCCTTCAATTTACTTCTAGACAAAAGAGGTTGAACTAGACAATAAAGTCATGTCATTTTAGGGAATTTGAGCAGCCACACATTTGGTGCCAAGCACCCCATTCCTCTCTGTCCTACCTACTGGGTCCTAGTGTGACTTAACATTTACTGCACTGAGCTACAGCTCCTCTACAAACAGAGAGTGCACGTGCATCATGTCCCATACAGGCATTTAGTGAACTAAGAAGGGCTTGAGTTAGTCACTGATCGCTGTAGAGCAAGCTTGCAAATTAAAGGAGAATTCAGTACAGGAGAAAAAATCCTGTGCTTCACATATACAGTTGCGCAGAGATAGACTGGGGGCTGTAAAGAAAGACTTGGTACCAATCCTGCCCTGTGCAGCTAAGCAGAAGCTGGGAGAGGTGCAGGGAAGGAGCAAAGTGCAACCAGCAAAGAGCACGCTGTTCACTTCCCAGTTTGGGGCCGATCAGGACTGACCCTGGATTGTCAGCGGCACGTTAACTCCCATGCTGGGTGGGAGCCTCACCCTGCTACTACGCTAGGAAGGGCTGAGGAGACCTGGGTGAAGCTTGGCCTGTGCCACTTATTAACACTGTTACCAATATATCTCTTTCAGAGAGTTTTTTTACCAATACCAGTCCTCTAGCTTGCCATATTGTTTCCTGCCTAATTTCAGCAAGCTCTGGAAGAGGTCCTGCTGTCAGACCTCCATGCACTTTTGCTTAACCTTTTCTAACAAGCCCATTCCACAAGCTCAAGAGTGGGACACTTAAAAATTTTACTCACCAGGAAAGTTTCACCAGAGGAAAGGCATGGGGACTGCTAGGTTTCACAGAGGCTTTTATTGTCTCATTAAGCTCTCCTTAATGAGAACTTCCTCACCTGCTGCAGTCTCCCTCCCATTCATTTGCACCCACCATCATGCTGCTGGTACTTTCAAGGCTGTCTTAGCTCCCACTCCTTCCTCCCTCTTTCTTCTTAACTATTCTGAGCCCAATTTCTATTTCCATGCTTTCATCCAGGTCCCAAGGAGAAAATACCTTTTCCTCTTGAGCTACCAATTGCCACATCCTCCTTGGCTGGTTTCCTGCCTGATATCTCTGCAGCTTCTCCCATCTCCAGAGTCACCTGCTGTAACCTCTCCCCCAAAGCAAGGCAGCGACAGCTCTCGTTGAGATCCCTGATGTAGGTGCTTGCTGAAACGGTGTAGAACTGCCAGGCATAGCAATAATCCACAGCTGTCGAGGACCTACTGCATGCTGCAATTCACCCCAGGCTTTAACTCCTTGGGTTTCTTCCCACACCCTCATCGAAGATCCTGTCTTTGTTACAGAAGCAGCTGTGTCACAAGACCCAGTTACACCATGGCTGTCCCTCAGCATGATTAAAGCGCCACAGTTATTTTCCCTCGTGCTAAAGATAGAGGAACATCTTACCATCCTGCTAGACCCTAGTCTGACCAAAACTGTAACGCTGATCCAGTGCCACTCAGGCCTGTGATTGAATCGGGACAGGACGCAACCAGGCTGTCACTGAATTCTGCCAGTTCTCTTTTCAGCATGAAGAGGTCTGTCGTTCCTCACCCGAACTGTCCCCATGACATAATTCTTCCCACCTATGCCGGCGAGTGAAGTATCACCGTCCCTTGATACCTTCCTTGGAGTGCAGCTCTGGACCACAGCTCTGGCCAGTGCAGCTTCTGCACTCAGAAGCCACAGCCTGTGACAAAACCTCTAGCCAAAAATCACCTGCCAAGTCTTTCTGAGCTCTCACCAAAATGTTTTGGTGATTCTGTATTTACCTTGCCCAACACCAAAGTATTCATGACCTCATCAAACTGCTCACCCAGGTCTGCTAATTCATACCAAACGCTCGGACTGTCAAAACTTGCTGACTCTCTCAGCTAAGGCTCCCCCGTGCGCAGCCTGAACCCCGCACGCCCCAGTGCCTCTGCCCGTCCCAGCCCGCTGTTTGTATGAGCGGGGCTGGCGGGTCGGCCCCTCCACGGGACCAATGAGACTTCACGCCAGCGGGGCAGCAGGTTCAGCACCTTTCTCAATGACTGCAAATACCGGGGGGTTCAGGCTGTTCCACCCACCCAGTCTCATCTGACAGAGCCTTGAGAGCAAAGCTGCGTCAGAGTTGGGCACAGCTGCCAAAAGAGTCGTTCAACCTCTTCGGATTGTTTGCATGCCTTTGGAAAAAAAAAAAAAATCCCTTTTTTTTTTTTTTTTTTCATTCAAGATTTTCTAGATAAGCACATGACAAACATGAGTATCAGAGAGAATGAACAGCCTGCCTTCCAGTTAAGAATGAGGAACTACCACAGTTATCACTGTGATAATGAGATAGTCTGAACATGAGGGAACTTAATACAGTGGGAGATTTATCTTGTAACCTGTCCCTTGGCAGCCTGACCCCGCATTGATGTCAGCACGGTTTCTCATTGCACAAAGGCCAGGGCACAGACCCGGGATGACAGACCCATCTCTATCCCAAACGTGTCCTGTAACGCAGCAATGGCCGTTACCATCGATAAAACATTTGCTTCCCCTTTTTTTTTTCTCTCAACAGTATTTTGGCAGGTATTCTCAGGAATGGCTGTCTGAAAGCTTTATCCACCCCTTCCCCATCACGAAGGGAGATGTTCAGCTTTGTAAAGCCATGCTATTTTGCTTAGAGTGGAGGTAACTTCTGGGAGGGATATTGCAAGAGAGAGAGAGAGCAGCTTGGCCTCGGGTCTGGAGTTGGATGAGGTTAGACGATGAAACGGAGCTGCTCTGTGAAAGGCATGCTGGGCTTGGCTGGGATGCCAGGGGAGAGATGGTGCTCTGCAGGTTAGTTACGTACTGGTATTCCAGTGGTAATTCCTTAGATCACCCAGACACTCTGCTCCATTTAAATCATGTAGTCCCATAAGAACCCTGTACCCACCTTGGATGTCCAACTGACCCAGAAAATGGCTTTCTTTCCTACCACAAACCAGGTCAATACTTCAAGTCCTGACCTTCAAGGGTGTTGCGGTGAGGAGAAGAGCACATCAGGAGTCCAGGGCCTTGGTCCAACACTCTCAGAGGCTCTTGTCACAAGGAATTAACATGGACTCTGCAAACAGATAAGGAAAACCAGAAAGAGCAAACGCTGGTCTGTACAACCTTGACACGGCAATCGATGCTGTAGTTTACCACCAGGAGCAAGTAAACAGCCCTGGAGTTGCATGCTGCATAGCAAACATTGCAGTTTTATCTGGATGACAGGCAGCAATTTGTGGCAAAGGGTAAATCTCTCTGTTCACTCATGCTTGACATATGGATGGTCTTGTTACATTCCCTGTTCTCAGTGGGTTTATGCATGAATTTAAGGTTAAATACATGCATGCCTGCAGGATCGCAACCTTTGTTTAATATTACATGGCCCAGCAGAGCCATAATTAATCCCTAAGATGTTCAAGTGACAGCTCTCACCCAGTAATGTCATCTACACAGAAGAGTGAAGTACGTGTAAATGTGTAAGTTCAGGCTGGGAGTCAGAGATTTTCCAGCTATCAGAACAGCGAGGCTCCAAGGGAGGTTTCTGGCAGGATGAATGGGATAAATGGCAGACTGGACATGCCAGGAGATGGAGGTGTGATACAGTCACCTGCTCATTCAGCTTGGAATGACAGCACTGCAATGCTGCTGTTCCCTTTTACGTACTCAATATTTTTCTAATATGAAAATTAAAGCAGTCTAGAGGCTGATCCAGCTTGGCAAGAAAAGTCCCACCCTGTTCATCCTGACCAGTTTGCAAATTTGAAACTTGACCAGACCCAGCTGAGCCACACTTGCTCTTCCTTCTTCTCCAAACCACTGGTTTACAAATGTACCGAAAGGTCTGAAACCCAGCAATAAGCCAGAGCTGCAGGCTGGCAATCAGGTCCACATGGACAGAGCGCTCCAGGGAAGTCCTCACGCCCGGGTCAAGTCCTGTCTGCTTCAGTCATGAGAGTTGCTGCTAATGCTAGTGGTTTGTTTCCAAATTCTGGGTATTTAATCTTTTCATCTAGTCAGTCAGGTTGGATCAACGAGTATTTTATCATGCAGGCAACACAACAGGCTGGATATATTTTAATGAGTTTAATGGGGTTTAATATTCATTCACCAATAGTACAAAATGTCAGATCTCTGCTATTTAAGAGCCAGAAACATGTCAAACACACAGAGGCAAGCATTGCTCAGAAACAGTTATGCTGTACATCAAATCTGAGGAACTGAAGCACAACCAATAATTTGTCCTGCCATACATCTGAGGTGAGAAAAGATGCATGTCTTACTAGCTAGTCCAGACCCTACAAAAATACATATAGCCATTTCATTTAACCCTATTTCTTTAAAAGCTGCATGTGTAAGAGTGCCTCCAGATGGATCCCACTGCACGTTCAAGCTGCTGCTTTTTTTTTTAATTATTTTCTCCTTAAGCTCTAGCAGCCCATGCGTCAGACTGGAATGATACATGGGAAAGAATCTTTCTATTTTCTTTACTGATTTAATTACAAGGGAATTATGGAATAGCTCTCCTCTCCCTCCTTTTCTCCTCTGGACAGCCGAAATGCCAGTGCTGCTGTACACCTCCTGTGCAGCCGTACACCTCCCATCCAGCCGTACTCTGCCAGTACAGCTGCACCCAATTTTTCCCCCTGCTGGAACTCCAGCAAAGATGAGGTGCCAGGAAAGTCTAGCAAGGGCAGGAAAGAAAATTATCCCTCAGCTCACCATGTGCAGATGCACTGCAGGCAGGTGAACCCAACGGAGATGCGAACAGGATTTGTCCCCAGATGCCTCCCCTGGGCACATCCAAAGTGCTTGGGAGCCAGAAGGAGAGGAAAGTAAAGAGAGCTCTGCCAGCGGAGTCACAAACCGGCAAATTTTATAAAGCGTCCCCTGCTAAAAACTGGAAGCTGTAAAAGATCAGCAGCGCTGAGGCAACCAAGTCTGATGGGCTGGCAACAACCACCCAGGCTGTGGTTGCCCTCTTGGCACAGCCAGCCAGGGAGACATTTTGCCGTGGACCGTAGGGGATGGAAAAGGTACAGGGAAACAAGGCAGCCAAGAAGTGGCACAACGAGCAAAGCATACTTTGACTTTCCCACTCTGCTGCAGCTCCAGATGGTTGTTTAATTTCCATAATATATTAAGTCATAGTAGATTTGAGATACCTTCAAAACATCACATCACGCTTTGTTAGCATGTACAGCCCTTTGTAGCCCCCAGTTCTGCGACTGTAGCTCTGAAATGAGGGAAATTGCAGAGAAAAGAACTGCCCTCTCTACACCAGTGCCCACTCAGACCCTCGGGACCTCCGCTTCCGAAGCAGACCTGGACTTTCTCCTGCTAGTCAGGCTGCCCAGGACCGACTCCTCGCTGAAGGCCCCTTCGAAGGTCGACAGGATGGACTGGCGAAACTTCTCTTTGAAATCCGGCCCCACAAATACGTACAGGATGGGGTTGATGCAGCTGTTGAAGAAAGCGAGGCTGGAAACCAAAGGGATCCCGATGTAAAGGGCCATTTTCATCTCATGACTGGAAGAGTTTTTGGATATTTCCAGCAAGGAGAAGACGTGATATGGGAAATAACAGAGGAAGAATGAGACTGTAACAGCAATGATAATTCTGTATGGCTTCGCAGAGTTGGCTAACTGCCTTCTTTTCAGCTTGACAGCAACGATGCTGTAGCAGATGAGAATCACCGTGAAGGGGATGAGGAACCCGCATAAGAATCGCGTTATGATCATCGCTTTATGCCGCAGCCTCCACAGCCTCCGCGTTGCCTCGGATGTGTAGTCATCAGAGAGTGCAAAATTATTATAGCAGCTGGTGATGTTTCTGGAACTGACCACGGTATCCCGAAAGACGAGGTACGGGGAGCTGAGGAGGAGAGCCAGGATCCACGTCCCCAGTGCAATCCTGGCCGCCAGCTCCGGACTCCTGCGGTTGTGAGACCAGACGGGAAAAGCCACAGAAACGCAGCGGTCCATGCTGATGACCGTCAGGAGGAAAACGCTGGCGAACATGTTGAGGAACGCGATGGTGCTGTTCAGCTTGCACAGGAGCTTCCCAAACGGCCAGTGGAAGCCCAGGGCAGTGTAGGCGATGCTGAGGGGCAGGAAAAAAGTGAAGATGAAGTCAGCAATGGCCAGGTTGAGGAACCAGATGGAGTTCACTGTCTTCTTCATCTTGAAGCCTGCGATCCAGATGACCAGGCCGTTCCCTGTCACCCCCAGCAAACAGGCGATGCTGTACACCACCATGGAGAGGACGTGCATGCTCTTCTGGAGGCCGGAGTAGTAGTCAGAGTAGTAGTCATGGGCAGTGGTGTTCTCAGACTGCACAGTGGGGGAACTGGCAGAGAAGGGTGAAGAGGAAGAAGAGACGCTCTCCATCACCAGCAAGCTGGAGTCCTGCAATCATAACAGCACACACTGCAATTATCTGCAGCTCCTACGGCTCAGGGGAGGTGAAAGTCTTTGCTAGCAACTGCATACAAAATGTAAATACAAAGCCAGAATATCCACTTAACAGAACTTAGTAACAACAGTCCCTCTCTATAGTTTCTTCAAGTCTTCAGAACAGCAGATAAATATTTGTGAAGCACAAGGAATTTTAGCCATCTGAGCAAGATCCCAATGAACCAAGACACAGGGAAGAAGATAGTCTGGGCATGCCTTGGGTTGATCTGATCCTGAACATCTCCCAGAAGGGATGGTACCACTGGGCAAGGGAGACATCTGAGCAGAAGCTCAGCCAGCATGAGGACAACTCAGAGTCCCACTGGCACCAGCAGAAACCCAGGGATCCATCAAGACAAAACCTATTGCGCATCTCATGGGAAAACCCGGGATCCCTGCAAAGCTTGTCACCTGCACTGCCCACCAGCCCACTGTTCTGACAGACATTTTAAGGCAGGAAATAAATTATAATAATAAGAAAGAAGATTTTTTGCTCGCAGCTCCTTCAGCCCACTGCAGCCCCAAGCACAGCGTTCCCCATGCAGCAGCGCCCTCCGCGCAGCCACACGACCCTGCCGCTGCTCTGCACGTCACAGAAACCACCGCAGCCAGAGGAAACACCCCATAATTTGCTACTGGTGTCGGCGCTGCCAGAACAAAACCAGCCCACAACAGCAACCTGACGTGGGCCCACAGCAGAACCACGGGAACCCAGATCCCTCAGCTGCGACAAGTCCTTGTCGGGTGACCAGCGACAAGTTGAGGTAGCAAAAACCATCTAGACTGATGAAGTTAAATGGCTGTTCCTCCGAGTACCCTTCGGGGAGGCGCAGCCTCACGGCAGGATGGTACCTGCGGTGCATTTTGGTGTCAGCCCCCAGAGCACCCCCCCGGTGAGGCCGCGGTGCCCCCCTCACCCCAGCACCCCGCAGGACTCACCCCGCGATCCTTCGCCCCGCAGCGGGTGGTCTCGCCTCCTGGCCGCCTCCCCTTTGAGCCGCTGCTCCTCAGTGACTCACGCTGCCTCATCCCATTTTCCCATTCCTTCGGGTCACGGGGAATTTAGTAGGATCCCTTAGTCCCTACTCTTGTTCCTCAATTTGGGGTGCATTGACTTAACCCCTGAAGCCGCAGCGGTCGCAGGCTCCCTTGGGCTGGTTGCACGACTCCATCTCATAACCGGGGTTTGAAACACGTGGCCCCAATCCTGCCGGCACCACTCACCTCCCGGGGCACCTCCTGAGTGCCCAGACACCCACCCGGGGCTGCCCTGCCGTGGGGTGGGGGTCGGGGCAGGCTCTGCTCCCCATGGCAGCAGTGCCACGGCCCTGGCACACCTCGGGCCATGGCTTCGGCCAGCAGCCCAGACAAAGCGGGGGGCTCGGGGGGGTGACTGGAAACGCTCCCTGCTCGGGGTGCGGTGTCGGGGTGGGGGGGTCCCGTCCTCCACCTCCAGCGTGAGGCACCCCAGGGCTCAGGGAGAGCCCCCTGCACACACACACACTCCAGGGGCACAGGGCAGGCAGGGTCGGGGCTGCGGGGTGACGGCAGAGGAGGGGGGGGTGATGTCAGAGGAGTGATGTCAGAGGGGTAACGGCAGCGCAGCACCGCCCCCCCCCCCCCCCCCCCACCGCCCGCTCCGGCCAAGGTCACCCGCGCCCCGAGCGCCACGTGCGGGCAGCGCCGCCAGCCCCGCCTCGGCGCGGGCCAATCGGACGCGGGGAGAGGGTAGAGCGCGGCGCTGATTGGCCTAAAGGCTTCCGCAGCGTGAGCTCCTACCGCCTGCCTGTCGGGGCGGAGCGAAAGCGTTGATTGGCCGAGGCTCAGGAGGGGGCGTGCCTGAGCCGCCTATGCTAGGCGCGCGGGCTCCCGCGCGGTGGCGGAGCGGGACCGGGATCGACGGGCGGGTATGGGCCGTGCGGGGCCGGGACAGGGCGGGGACGGGCACGCCACGCCACCCGCGGCAGCCGGAGCCCGTCAGGGATGCGGGAGGTGATGGAGCCGGGCTGCGGCGGGTGCAGAGCCGGGTGGGGATATGGAGCCTCAGGGCTGGGGTTCGTCCCTGCAGCAGGTGAACCGGCAGGGTCGGACTGGTGTCCCACCACGAGGGTGGAAACAGGGGGCTCATCCTTGCGTGGGGAATGGGGATCTCTGCCTCCCGCTCCCCCTAAGCCTTCTGCAGGGTTGCCAAAAGCTCTGGGTGCGTCCAGCTCAAACCCAGAGCGCTGCACCCTGCCCTTTCCCTATCCCAGCCCAGCTTTTCTGACAGTGGGGGTTCCCTCCCTGCCAGCGCAGCCCCAGGTTTGGGCAGGAGGGTGGCCGGGCATCCCCGCAGCACACCCGTGCTGAACAGACTTCAGCAGCTTAACACAAGCAAGCTAAGCACGATTGCTTAATAACCTGCTCACGGCCCTTTGCCGGCCTTGCAGGGTTAATGAGTAAAAAGATGCATTGTTTTCAGCCAAGGCAGAAGCTGGGCTGTCGCGCCTGCCCGGGAGCTTGTGTTCTGCATTATAATGCTAGCAGCGCTTGGGTCGGGGGGCTGCTGCCAGGCCTGGCCGTCACACGTGCCACAGAGCTGCTGCCTCTAGGGGCCCAGCTCCACAAGCTGGGCTTGCTTCAGTTAGGGTTTGGGGTAGGACTCCGACCTGCTGGGGGTTTGTTCTCATGGCTGTGCACAAGGGAAAGCAGCCGGGAGGTTTAAGCGTGCTGGAAATGCAACACGCGTTAAAATTGAGGTCTGAGGGTATGATCACTTCCCTTAAAACTAACCAGCAGTTTTAATAATTCTGTCTGTGAGGGCGTTTCCTAGCATTTCTTTGAATATGAGAGCAAGAAGGAAAGGCATCACTCACGTTGCTGATGCTCTTTGGTCTCTGCACAGGTTCACCCTGTCCCCACGTGTGGCCAGGCACTGCAGAGCTGAGCGGGGTGAGCCCAGGGGCGGTGATGGGAGAGTAGCAGAAATTATCAAAGCACTGTAATTAATGAACCGGTCTTAAATCAGCGGGAGAAGCCTGACAGTTATCTGTGTTTTCCTCACCCTATGGGCCCCAGCCCGTGGCTGCTCCCACTGTGTTTTGGGGAAAGACGTGGGCTGGGAACAGGCAGGACGCAGGGCAGAGGCGCCCAGCCCTGCTGCCACCCCGCAAACTCCCCTCTCTGCTGGCAGGTGATCTTGGACCCAGCAGGGAGATGGCAAACTCAACGCAGGGCAACGGGGGCCTCCCCAGCGCGGAGCTCTGGGCCTCCCATAATAGGATGGTACTGGAGCCGCTCCACAGCAACGACCCGGAGGTGAGAGCCCCTTCTTGGCCCCTACCCAGCAGCTGCTTCGTTTGCCCCCAGACAGTTGTGGGGACACTGATCTCCTCGAGCCAGTGATGTGGCAGGGAGACAGTCCAAGGCTGAGCTGGTGGGACCCATCCATCCTCCATGTCCTCTCTGCCTGCAGTGAGAGGGGGAGAGGGAGGGCATCCTCCAACCCTCTGCAGATAACATGGTCATAACTTTGGACCTAGTGCTCTGCTTGAAGCTCTGATGTCCACACCAGAGCAGCCAGGCCACGCGGCAGTTGCCCTTGACTCTCGAACCCAAATAACAGCTGAATTATCTCGGCAGCTCCCTGTCAGGTAGAAACCCAAAGCATGGCCTGTGACCGGACATATGAACTGTTTGGGATCAGCCGTACCAGGAAGGGATCTCATCTCCTTTCTCCGGCACCTTTCCAGGCCCCTCTCCATCGCCCTGTCCCCTCAAGGGTGCATCCCCTGTGGTGGAGCTGGCACGGGTGAAGCCGTTTCTCTCCCCTCCCAAAGGTGCACAATATCATCACGAAGGAGAAGCAGCGGCAGAAGCTAGGGCTGGAATTAATCGCATCAGAGAACTTTGCGAGCCGAGCGGTCCTGGAGGCCCTGGGATCCTGCATGAACAACAAATACTCAGAGGGCTACCCAGGACAGAGGTACGGGGCTGGGGCTGAGTCCACCCAACCCAAACCCTCACAGGGAGGGGAGAGGAACCACCCACGCTGCCAGACCTCATCTTGAGTGGAAGCAACGTCCTGGTGCTGGCAGCCAAGCTCCTCCAGGGCAGGTTCTGACCCTCTCAGCTTCTGTCCTTGGCCACGCATGAGACAATCTCAGCAGGGTCACGTCTGCAGCAGCCGATGTCCTGATGGCTGCTGCAAACACAGCATCAGCCCAGTTGCTCCCCAGCTTGGTCACAGGGACTGTTCTGAGTAAGTTCATTTTTAACCCCTGCCCTGTCCTTTACTGGCAGGTACTATGGTGGGACGGAGTTTGTAGACGAGCTGGAAAGACTCTGCCAGAAGAGAGCCCTGCAGGCGTACCGCCTCGATCCCCAGAAGTGGGGTGTCAACGTCCAGCCCTACTCAGGTAACGGGGTGCTCTGGAGAGCCAGGCCGGCTGCACCAGCCCCTGCACATCCCAGCTCCCGTAACCGGCCCGGTGTGCTCTCACTGCAGGGTCACCCGCAAACTTTGCGGTGTACACGGCCCTGGTGGAACCCCATGGCAGGATCATGGGGCTGGACCTGCCCGACGGGGGCCACCTTACCCACGGCTTCATGACGGACAAGAAGAAGATCTCTGCCACCTCTGTCTTCTTCGAGTCCATGCCCTACAAGGTAAAGAGAGCTGCTCCAGCCAGAGCCAGGACGCGGTCGTCATAAGTGTTGGTGCCTCTTAAGAGGACCGGTGTCAGGCTCCCAGCACCCCCTCCTGTGGGATGACACTGCAGCTGATCTTCACCCCTACCAAGGTGGCTGAACCCTCCTCTTCCTCTCCCAGGTCAACCCCAAGACCGGTTACATTGACTACGACCGACTGGAGGAGAACGCTCGCCTCTTCCACCCCAAGCTGATCGTAGCAGGTAAGGATCAGACCCCTTACCGACCTCCCTGGTGACACACCCTGGGTGGCGGTGGCTCCCTGCTAAACCCATGGCCACCCATGGATGCTGCAACACCAGGAGAACACCTCAAACACATCCACGCTGGCAGGAACTTGCGTGCTGTCCCCATCAGAGGGCTGGACCTGGGCTTGTCCCAAGGTCCTCGAGCGTCTGCTCCTGTCCCCTCCACCTCTCCCTGCAGGTGTCAGCTGCTACTCGCGCAACCTGGACTACGCCCGCATGCGGAAGATCGCTGATGCCAACAGTGCCTATCTCATGGCCGACATGGCCCACATCAGCGGGCTGGTGGCAGCCGGCGTGGTGCCTTCCCCCTTCGACCACTGCGACGTCGTCTCCACCACCACTCACAAAACCTTGCGGGGCTGCAGGGCCGGCATGATCTTCTACCGCAAAGGTGCCCGACCAAGCTGGCGATGCTGGGAGAAACGTTCCCCCCAGGGCAAGGGGGACTGCAAGTTAAAGCTCCTTTCTGCTCTAGCTGGGAAGGAGGGAGGGCAGGAAGGTCTGGGGCCACCTGGGAGCATCTGGGGAGCCTTCCCAGGGCCAGCTGTGGCCCAGATTTGAAGAGGAACAGCCACCATCCCTGCTGTGAGAGGCCAGGGGGTGAAAGCAGCTCACGGGAGAAGGGAGGGCGAGCTGCCTCGTGAGTGACCTTGCCCTCCCCTCCCGCAGGCACCCGCAGCGTGGACCCCAAGACGGGCAAGGAAACGCTCTACAACCTGGAGAGCCTCATCAACCAGGCAGTCTTCCCCGGGCTGCAGGGAGGCCCTCACAACCATGCCATCGCAGGTACGCGTCTGTGCCGGGCCGGCTGCCAGCTCCAGGATAACAAAGGGAACTGGCAAAAATGTCTTGGCTGGGCTCTGACCCGCAGCCCAGGGGGCTCCAGCGGCCCCCAGGGGCTCGCAGCTTGGAGATGCCGCGGCAAGGGGCAGCTGGCTTGATCCAGCATTGCCCGAGGAGCTTTCCCTGTCCTTTCCCCATCCTGCCTTTTGCCTCATGGCATTCTCCTGGGTAGGGGAAGGGACTGTCCATCAGTTTGCTCAGCTTCCAGGATGATTTCTGCTGGCGGTGCCACACATCCCTGGCTGGCTTTCCTAGTGGGAGCCCCCCTAAAAACTCACCCCGCTCTGCCTTCCTCCCCAGGGATCGCCGTGGCGCTGCGGCAGGCCATGACACCCGAGTTCAAGGCCTACCAGCAGCAGGTGGTTGCCAACTGCAAGGCGCTCTCGGCAGCGCTGATGGAGCTGGGCTACGACATCGTCACGGGTGAGGACAGGCGGCAGCGGGACGGGGCTGAGCCCTGGGTGCGTGGCCTGAGCCAGGCCCTGAGGGCAGCGCGTGCATGGGCACAACGGGGAGGGCTCTGCTGTCGCAGTTCCTCAGGACGTCCACAAAACTATTTTGAAGCAGCCCCCCTTCCGTATCACAGAATGGTTTGGGGTGGAAGGGACCTTAAAGCCCATCCAGTCCCACCCCCCTGCCCCGGGCAGGGCCCCCTTCCCCCAGCCCCGTCCAACCTGGCCTTGAACCCTTCCAGGGAGGGGGCAGCCACAGTTGCTCTGGGCACCCTGGGCCAGCGCCTCACCCCCCACACAGAGAACAATTTCTGCCTTAAATCTCACCTAAATCTGCCCTCTGGCAGTGTAAAACCATCACCCCTCTTCCCATCCCCACCCCCTGACCCAGAGTCCCTCCCCCCCTCTCCTGTCCCCCCTTTAAGCCCTGGGAGGCCGCTCGAAGGGCTCCCCGGAGCCTTCTCTTCTCCAGGCTGAACCCCCCCAACTCTCTCAGCCCGGCCTCCCAGGGGAGCTGCTCCAGCCCCCCGAGCATCATCTTCTTCAAGGGCAGGCCCACTTCTGCCCCCAAAACCAGGGGCAGGCCCTGGTGCAACCCCAAACCTTTTTCACTGAAGTTTCATGTGGGAGCAGCGATTCCCCCGATCCTGCGCCCCTCCACCGAACCCCTCTCTTTGCAGGGGGCTCTGACAACCACCTCATTCTCCTGGACCTGCGCAGCAGAGGCACGGACGGCGGCCGGGCCGAGCGGGTGCTGGAGATCTGCTCCATCGCCTGCAACAAGAACACGTGCCCCGGTGAGGAATCCCACCAGCTCCTCCACATCCCACCCCGCGTGCCGGGGATTTCTTCCTGCAAGGCTCCCAGCTCCCCACCCACCCCGGGAGCACTGGGAACCACAGCGAGTTTTGGCACTTGGTTTGGTCACGCGTGGCTTCTTCTGGCGCAGGCGATGTCAGCGCCCTGCGCCCCAGCGGCCTGCGGTTCGGGACGCCGGCTCTCACCTCCCGCGGCTTCCGCCAGGACGATTTCCGCATGGTGGCTCAGTACATCCACAGAGGTGAGTAGTTCCACAGGGCCGAGTCTCAGCTCCAGCAGCAGCCCCGGAGCCAGGGCAGCTCCTCTGGATGAGGTAGCACAAGCTGGGCGGCTTCCCCAGCAGCTGGCGAGGGAGCGCGCACGCAAGTGAGAGGTAACTCTCCCAATTGTGGATGAGAGAACATCTGGCCACAGCTGGGACCAGCCCAACCCTCCCCACTGCCCAGACAGCAGGCTAAAAGCCTAGCTTAAAACTCTACCTTTCTCAGTCTAGTTCCAGTTGTCCTCAGGGATCCCACACTGTTTTTTCCGGGGCAGCGAGTCCCTCGGAGCCCTGCTCCTACCCTCCCGCGTGTTTCGGGGAGCAGCCCCAGCGCTGCTGCGGGGCTGGGAGAGCAGGGGGATGCAGCCGCGGGGGGCTGAGCGATGCGTGTCCCCCCTCCCCGTCCCGGCAGGGATCGAGCTGACGCTGCGCGTGCAGAAGGACATGAGCCCCAAGGCCACGCTGAAGGAATTCAAGGAGAAACTGGAAGAGGAGAAATACCGGGGGGAGCTGAAGGCACTGAAGGAAGAGGTGGAGGCCTTCGCAGCCGCCTTCCCGCTCCCGGGGCTGCCTGTCCTGTAAGTGGGGGTCCCCGCGCCCGCCCCTGGAACCGTGGAAGTACCGGGGATGGCGGCACACTCACACCCCCAGCCCGAGACCAACACCCCAGTGCCTTCTCCCAGCACTGGCTGCGGCGCAGCAGCGGCTCCTTGTTCAGTTCTGATTCACCTCTCCTCTCCCATTTGGGGCACAGGACCCCCCCCCCCCCCGAGCACAGCCTCCCCCCCCGAGGGGGGAGACCTGCCTTTTCGTCATTAAATGTTAAAACTGGGACCGAGCAGCCGGCGAACCCTCAGCCCCACGGCCGGGTTCGACCCCGCTCACGCTGGCTGGGGGAGCAGCAGCTGAGGTTTAGACAAGCCTGTGCCCGTTCCCCAAAACGGGAGGGACGGGGAGGGGGACCCACCTCTGCCAGAGCCACCCCTCCGCGGGCTTTCCCGAGGCCCAGCCTTGTCCCCAGCTGCTCTCCTGGGATCACCATCCTCTCCCAGCCAGCATCTCCGGTGATCTCTCAGACCTCTCAGCACAAAGCTTAGGTAGAACCATTTTTTAATAAGCACGGTAAAATTAAGAATTTAACCACAATGTATGACAAGAATTATAAGCTTTAAAAAATACAACCTTTTTTTTTTTTTTTTTTTGTATTTCAAAAATATCTGAACCCAAATAAATAATTTTTTTTTTTTTTTTTAAAAGTACATTTCTCAGACTAGTCATTTGGTGTTAACATCTGTTAAACTCTTGTGCAGTAACACAGCACGACACTAAGACATGCTTCTTGGATTTCTCCCGGTCACACTCGCTCTAACTAATGACACAAGCATTCGGCACGCACAGGCACACACACGGAACTCGACATGCAGTAATAGGATACAGTGCTTTTAAAATAAGATGAGAATTCATCACAGCCTCCTCGCAGCCCTCTGAGGCAGCTCTTAGCCCAGCCCCATCCCCGAGCCAGCAGCGAGGTGGCCAGCGGGACCGGGTACCCTGTGTTTCTGCCTTCCAGTTAAAACGCGTCTTGGGGACCAGCGTGCAGTGGGTTTGTGACCCCTCTGATATGGGGGTACAGTCTGTTGCTCAGACATGTTATCGGGGCGCCCTGCAGGGCAGGAACTCTCCCTCAGCCTGGGCGGCTCCTTGTTTCCCATCTCGCCTTATTTCCAGGAGCCTTTTCAAAGCGCTGCTACAAAACCCCCGGTCCTGCCCAGCTCTCCGAGATGCTGAATCCGTGGTGTGGGCAGTCACCCACCACCACAGCGGGGGCTCAGGATACCCCCCCCACCCCTTGAAAACCCAAGAACTGGCCTGGGGGACGTGAAGTCATCGGCTCTCACCCCTCAAGCACCTCTCCCACCCCTTACAAAATGGTGAATATTGCTAGAGTATAGGCAGTACTTCCCTAATCAAGGCAAGGCAGCTTTGGAGCTGCTTAGAAGTGATTGCTACTGGATGAAAGTAAATCCGAGCACTATTCTCTGAGAAATGAAACCTGTGTAGGGTTAATATCGCCTACTCCTATGGCTGACCCTCCTCGGGGTGGGATCTGAAGGTGGGAAGTTGGCAGTCGGGAGTCTCCTAAAGCAGGAAAGCGGAGGAGTAAGAAAAGGGAGCCCTGCCCTCCCGGCCAGGGGAGAGTTTTGCTCTGATGAATTCTCGGTCAGGCTTAAATCCTCCTCTACCCTGACAGCCAGCAGAGAGAGGAAGGAGCCAGAGCCGGAGCCGGCTGTGCGGGAGGCAGGGGCATGCTGGCAGCACTCACGGAAGCAGGCGAGGACCATGCACGGCGCCGGTGGCGGGAGGGCTGGTGAGTATTGCACTGCGGCTGCGAGGAACCGGCCCTGCTCACGGAGGGGGGGGGGGGGGGGGGGGGGGGGAAGGATGGACGGACGGCAGCGCGCGGCGGTGGGACGGTGGGGTGCAAGCCGACGAACACACATGCCGAGATTCCTTGCAGGGGCTGTCAGGGCGAAGATCCTAACTTGTTACAAGTCTGCTAATATCGGGGAACTAGTGAGGTAACACAGTGAAGATGAGGAAAAAAAGTCTTAAAGTGCCGATAGAGGGATCTTTACTGTACAGGATCAGACGGTCAGGCAGAGAAATTACTGAGCAAAGAGGAATTCAGCTCCCAAACCACCAGCTGCACGCGGACTCCCCCCGATTTCTGCCACCGTTACGGGCACCACAACAGCGAGGGCAGGCTGGGCTCCGGCTGCACCGAGGTGCCACAGCTCCATGTAACTCCCGCTTTCAAGGAGTCCGAGCTCAGAGGTTACTCTGCCGTGAGCCAGCTTCGGGAGAACAAGCACTCCAAGGCGTGTTTCCCCACAGCTCCTGCTTAAGAGCCGATTTGCAGATAGCACAGAGCTCCGGTTTTTGAAATGGGGCGACGTCCCAGCAAAGCCCCCAGGGCATCCTCCCAAATCAGAGCTGCTTTGTGGTGGAGAGATGAAGCAGGTCAGACAGGTGGTAGTGCAAGTATTGCTTAACGCAGCCTTGAGTATCAGATACTACAGGTTTGATAGAGGGAGCAATGAGGAGCCAGTTATTTATCAATTTACGAGTGGAGCTGAACACCACAGGTCGAGACCACTGTGACTAAGAGATCAGCCAACACTAATCATCGATCCCGCTCCCTGGCTCTGCGCTGTCAGACCGGAGGAAGACGTTAAGCGAGTCAGCAGGAAAAAAAGCTCATCCCTCTCTCCCTCCCTCCTCAAACCCAAACAGCATCAGGTTGTGTTCCGGCAGGAAACGAGCTGCAGTGCTGAGCGCTTCTCCAGAGCTGCGGGTCAGGCAGGACGCAGGGAGGTTGCGTCTACCTGCATCACTCATTTACTGAGCTGCCTCTTCCCCCAGGGGATCTCGCCTCAGCTTTAGCGTGGAAGCCGTTTGGGTGCACACGGATCGACGAGGGGACACCTCGAGTCACTTCAGAAAGGAGGCGTTTTCGATGGACGCAGAAGTCTTTCACCAGCAGACCCAGTCCACGCGCGACAGGAGGGCAGAGTTAGGAAAGGAAAAGGCTTTTAAACGTGCTTTAAAGGCGCACAGCCCCGCGCACAGGCGCCCCGCTCACCTTCGGTGAAGGCAACGCCACGCTGCTTCCTAACTGCGACCTAAAAACACCATCACAAGCAAGCCCTGACCTTGGAAATCCCTCCGGAGTGTACCACGGGCTCCGCTTGCCCGGCTGAGCTGGCCTCACTGTAAACCACCAGAAAACAACACTAACATTTAAAATAGCCTCTCTGCCCTGATGGTTTATACCTCCCGCACTTCCCCAGCGAGCCCTTTCCAGGGCAGAGAAAGAGGCAGCAGTGGTACCGAAGCGCAGATGCTGGTGCCAGACAACAGCCTCCACGAGGAGCCTCCCCGCCTTCGGGACACAGGTTTCGGCACAGCGCATTTCTCACAGCAAGTTTCAGTGGGGTCTAAGCCACGCTGACAAAGCCCAGTCCCTACACGGAAACTTCCTCAGGCACAGGAGGAAAATCACATTCATCTCCAGCACTGCCTCACGTCGTCACAATAAACAGAGGCTTAAAAAAACAAACCAAAACAAAACAAAAAACAAAACCCAAACTAAATAACGCAGCAGCTCATCTTGTACAATGGCAGCTGTTCTCAACCCATAATCAGAAGAGTACTAAAAATAAAACCAAGGCTATCTTTCCTAGCAAGGCTTTTCTTGCTTAAAAGTACCACGTGGCACTGGACAGAGCAGACAGCAGCCCAGGACCGATGGCCAAGGAGCAGCATCTCTTCTAAGGTTCCAGAGGGAAGCGCTGTGCCCAGGCACAAAGCCTTTGGCACTGACAGGAACAACCTGGGAGTGTCACCATACCGGTGGCACAACCTTTATGGCACAGGCAGCGGCACAGAAGCTTTGAAAGGAAAGTCCTCAGCATCCAGGCTCAGAGAGCAGCAGTTCTGCCCCGTCCAGAGCTACCCAGGAGCACCCCGGGAGAGGTAGTCGAGACATGACAAAGGCTCAGCCAGAAGCAGCACGCAGCGACGCCGACCCTGCTTTACCACAAAGCTCAAAAGTCAACTCCCTGACAAAAAAAAAAAAAAAGAAAAAAAAAAAAAAAAAAAGGGAAACTATTACAGATACAATGTGGAATCCAAAACATTCATCCCCAAACTCTCCTGAGCACTAGTATCCCACCAGCCAGGCAGCCCGCTCTAACAGCCTGCTGTCGCACCGCGTAGCTTCAGCTGAATTGCACTGTTTGTTTCTCCATCACAAAAAGCACCTAAAAATGAGGGCTCCCCCGACTCTTGTTCAGTTCTCCCTCCTTAAAAAGCCACACTCTACCTCACACGCTTTGAGGATTCCTGGGCTCCCTCTCATCCTTCTCAGAAGTCGCCCAGCAAATCAGACGTGACAAATTAACAAGGCACGGTGCTCTACATTCACAGCAGCGGGCATCTCAGTGCTCGCTGGTGTTATGGAGTCCTTCCACATTCCAGATTTTAACAAAGCTGAGAGAAACCACCAAACGCTTTCTGGAGAGGAGCACGTGAACTTCCACTGTGCTCCCACTCACCCAGGGACAACTTGTCCTGGAAACTCAGAAAAATGCAGGAAGGGACAAACCATCCGCTACCGCGGCGCACAGATGGGTAACTGCAAGCTGCCACCCTGCCAGGGAGCTTCTGAGCTACATTCTAGTGGATTAAAAAACTTTACGCGGCCTTTACATCCCCCCTCTGGTCTCCACTCTGGCTCCACAGAAGGGACCAACAGCATTTAGGGCTCTGGCAGAAGCGTGTGGAACACCACGTTATTTTGGGGGCTGCACACTAATAAGTATTGATCCCCGAGACAGCCCACCTCTCTCTCCACACCATAATCCCCCTGGGATGCTGCCGTGATACGTTCTAAAAGTTGACAGTGTCCCTCCTAACATTTAAAAAACAGAGTGCCTGGTGTTTTATGTGATGGAGCATCTACATTCTTGGCTACAGGGAACCACACAGAAATCCGGCCCCTCGGACACCGGTTTCTGTGGGGCGGAGACGCGTGTGAGCACATCGGCTTCTTCGCCCCTTCCTGACGTATGAGAGCTACTGCAGGCAGCGTCAATGTCAAGCACGGATGAGCTTTGTCAGACTCTGAGTACGCAGGCAGAGAGCCCGCGCAAGGCTAGATTTTGTACAAAAAGCTGGGAACATAGTCAAATCTGAGCAGAGGGTTCACCCCCTGGCCAGGTTCCTGAATGTACTGCAGCTTCAGCAGCTCAGCTAAATACTGTACAATTTTGACATCTTCATTGGCAAGGCCCAGTTGAAGCTTCAGAAAGTTCATCCTGCGATTCACGACGGATTCCTCCGGCTCCCTTTCACTGATGGGAAGGTGCAAATGATGGCAGAAGGTGAAGAGGAAGGCTTTTGAACACAGCTGGGTGAGGATACTTTGGACGTGCATATAGTAGGTGCTTCCTCGTTTGATCTGCGTGCGGTGGTCTGCCAGCCGGGGCACCAAGGTGCCTTTGTAGAGCGGGCAGCGGAGAGTCTTACTGTCGGCGTCCAGAATGCTGACGTACCGGCTGTATCGGCTCAGGGCGGGCAGGACGTTCACCCCAGCAGGTGACACCATCCTGAAACAGAAAGGAGAGAGGTCACGGCTGCAGGGAACCAGACAATTAAGCAGCAGGCTGCGTCCGTGCCCCTGTGTGGCACATGCTTTCCCTCTAGCTCATGAGCTGGTGCGAGAGCCTCTGTGGGCAAATAAAGTCTAGCAGGGAAGAGAATGGCCAAATAGTCTCTCCAGCCTGCCAGAGCCCAAAGAAACCTCGATCCCATGTGCACTGATCCACACCGTGTGTGCGCTACTTCACAAACCACCGCCCTTCGGGGCAGCTTCCTCCCTCAGCAACACGGAGAGGGAATGATAGGACCTCTCCGGTGAACAGAAGCAAATCTTGAAGCAGCTGGGAGCTTCTGGATGGGACAACGAGGACCCAGAAACCCAAGCCAGAACCCCCTTGCTAAGAGCTCCACTTTCCCCCCATATCGCTGTTTTGGGAGGGGGCTGCTCTGAGGTGGTCAAAGCCCTGAGCGGAGCAAAACCTCCTGCCCTTTAAAGAGGAAACCATCCTTAAACCAGCACATTCCCTGGCTGAGCCTGGGCATTTTTCACTCAGGTGCAAACCCACAGCACGTTCACAACCTACAATTATCCAACAAGCCTAAATTAATGTTATTTAAATGCAAATTACAAGCCTACGCAAACTCTACCTTCTGCTTCTCAATTTTGCGTGGTTAAAGTCGCTCGGTGGAAATGCAGCTCCAAGCCCCAAACCAGGAGCCCCAGCTGCTGGGGTAGGGGCTGCCCCTGTGCCCAGGCAGCCTCTGGCCTTAGGAGACGCAGCACCTTACTGGAATAATTAATTTAGCCTCTAAGCTCCTTCCCAAAGCCCTTGTACAAATGGTTTGCTGAGAGCACCCATGTTAAACTCAACACTTAATTAACATTCCATGCAGGAGAGTTTAAATGACTGACACGTTACAGGCAGTTCTTAAAACAAACAAACAAACAAACAAACAAACAAAAAAACAACAACAAAACACAACAAAACAAAACCAACAAACTTTTGTTTATAAAAATTGCATCTAACCACAAACACTGAGTAAACACTCAGGGCTTTTAAAAACCTCACTGACAGATAGAGAAGTTTGGGAGCAGCTGTTGGCAGAGCTGCCATCCGGCCTCCTGAGCACAGAAGTGAGGGTAAACTCACAGTTTAGGATAATTTCGTCATCCACAGTCCCCAGTGATGCTATACGCAGCAGCCCAGGAAGCACATTTCTGTATTTTGATTTTCATGCTGCTCAGAAACACACTTTCAGGAGCTATTCCACCCCGGCTCTGAGCAATGGGCTGCCATTCTGACTCATGTTTTCTGTGTTGGTGACAGCAAAGGCCATTCCCTGTCACACCTGCACCCGAAGCGCCAAACACATCCTGGTAACACACAAAGAAAATCCTTTTCATAACAGCAAAGGCAGGGCCGAAATCTTGAGAGCTGAGCAACTGCTATTTGTAATATAAACTATGAAGCCACATTTCAGGATTGGGGGTTGGGGAAGAGGTGCGTGCGTTCGTGATGTTTCCTTTGCATCTGAACTGTAATCCCAACACCGCAGCCCGCACAGCTCCACGGACTTTTTTTTCCTGCACTAAGGCTTGTTATAAATAAGTCTCTGTCCACCTGCAGCCCCTCAAAGCGAGCCCAGCAGCTCCACAGGCTCCACACCTCCACCCTTCCCCGCACACCCTCGCCAGCACAGCCCGTGGTGCTGGCAACTCCAATTTCTCACCTCCCAATCTGACAGCGCAACATCTCTTCATTAGGGGCCATGAGGAAAAACCCTTCCCACATCAAAGCATCCATTTCAAAACTAAAATTCTAGCTGGAAATGTCTGAAGAGTTTTGGCAGGAGACGGGGAAAGCGGAGCACACAGGGGGACTTCAGGGGCACCGTGTTATCAGAACAACCAGGAAACCAGCGGGACTGACGTCTTTGTTCCGTGCTTTGCCATGCGAAGCCCTAAACCAGAGGAAAACCTCCCGGCCAAATAACTGCTATAACCCAGGTTGCAAGCGCCCAGCTGATGCTTTAAATATTAACTCTTAAGTGAGGCTGGATGTAAAAAGACAGACCACTCTACCCCCCTTCAAAATATATCCCATAAGCTGAGATTCATGGCAGCTGTGTAGGTAATTAGACAGAGACCTCCCTGTGTGCCCATTCCCCTCTCAAATTCCTGCTTAGGAGACGACGTTTTTAATCCTCCACCTCGACACCGACAAAGCAAACAGCTCATCGATTTACCTCTGGAGCCCGATGAGCTTCCACTTCTGGAAATCCACAACGTGAAGAGGGGAAGTGACCCAGTGCTTCACGGGCTTGGCATAAACGCCGCAGTTTGGCACGAAGATGGAGAGCGCCGTCACGAGCTTCTTGACTATGGCTTCCTCTTCCCCCAGCACGATCAGGGTCCTCCCGCTGAGCAGGGAGTAGATGGCGGGGTGAGCGAAGGGGTACTGCCTGATGAAGCGCAGCGCGTTCTGGCCGGCCTTTTTTTTGTGCCTTTCACTGGCCTGACAGGCGGGGTGAGCGGGAGAAGGGGTCCTGTCGGAGCACGTGGAAGCGGCGCTGCTGATATAGCTCGTGGAATCCGAGCACTCATCCAGGCTGCTCTTACTGACCTCCCTGCTGCCCGTCAGGTAGCGCGAGTCAAACTCGTAGGGAAGGAGCCCCCCCGAGATGCCGTCGTGGGAAGGGAAGCCCCCGAAGCTCCCGCGCAGCCCCTGCTCAGCCTGCCGGTACGGCTGCGGGGGGATCCTGACCACCCCGTCCTCGTCGCAGGGCTTCTGTCCCAGCTCAGGCAGGGGCTCGAGGAAGTTGGGACTCTCCTTCCCGATGCAACAGGCAGAATCAACCTGCACCAAATCTTCCTGTTTTGAAGCGTCTTCCTGCTCGTCGGCGGTGTCCAGGTTTAGCTTGGAGGTGAAACGAAGGCCTCCCTCTTCATCATCCACGTAAGGTTCCTCGTTAATGGCACTTGGGTAGCTCGCTTTGAAATCTTCTGGGATGAGCGACTCGGAGGGACACGTGCTGAGAACCTCGATGCTGTCCTCGCTGACAGTCCGCCGGCTGCCCACCTTGCTCCTGCCCACCTGGGGACTGGGGCTGACGGGTAGACTGGCCTGGCTCTCCGATTTTGTCAAGCCAGACGCAGACTTCTCCGTTCCAAGAACCTCGATGCTCTCACCGCTACTGATGCTGCCTTTAATATCTGCATCGAGGTAGTCCAGGTTCTCCTGGTGTTCAAACATGACGGACTCGGTCATTTTGGGTTCTTGGGAGTCCTCGATTTCCTGCTCCATCTTGATGGGCACACACTCCACACTGGACTTGTAGGCTCCCAGGCTGACGACCACTTTAGGAGCGGGGAACTCTTCCAAACACTTCCTATCGATAGCATCGTGGCTGAGCCCCTGGCAGCCTCTGTACTGTTTTTCAGGTGGTTTTTCATCCAGAAAAGATACATCCTCGAAGAGGAAGTTAGTTACACTTTGTTGTTTTAAGAGCGCCCTGCTGATCTGGTCTGTCAGGAGGTAGCACACGTCACCTCTGAAAGTCCTCTCGATCTGCTGCAACTGGTCAAGGGTTTGGGTGAAAAAATAAACATCGCAGAGTTCCTCCAGCGTCTTCAGCTTCTTGTCAAAGCATTTGGCAGACTTGGCTTTGATGAGCTTGGGGGTATAAGATGGCACGTGGGCGTAAAGGTGCGTTTCACCGGGCTCAGCAGGGTCGGAGGTAGTCAGGTCCTGATCACAGGCTGCTTTGGCCCGATCCAGCGCACACTCCGGCTCGTAGGGGTGGAATTCAGACTCCCTCAACTTCCTGTAGGGATACGACCGGATTTGTTTCAGCAGATCTTGGTGCTCAATGATAGACTTCTCCACGCTGGCCAGCTCGTTGGCCTTCTCGATGGCTTGGGTTGTGTAATACCCTTTGTCATTGGCTTTCTTCTGTATCTCGGTTTCGTTGTGCAGGACAGTCCTGGTGTAGTCGAGATCTTTCAGTTTCTTTTCCAGTTCGTTGGCAAAAGCTTTCCTGTTCCCTGTCTTTAGGCATTCGGAGGCTTTGGAGAACTCGGCGGAGAGTTCCTGGAACTGCTGCATGATTTTGTGCTCGTCGGCAGAAATATAGGCCATGCAGAAGGGCCTCACGAAACCTCTGGCTTCGAGGTCGTACAGAGTCAAGTGGTGGACGTACGCAAAGGCCCCCTCCTTCGAGTCCCCCAGCACCACCTTGGAGTCCTCCACGAAGTTCAGCTTCGGGTAGGCAGAGCCAGGAGGGTGCCCCACGAAGGAAGCCTGGTAATCCACAGACATGATCCGGAGGGAAAAATAATTGAGATCAAAAGTGCCCGACGCCTTGGCGTCATCGGGGATGGTCAGGAGGGGCTGGGGCCCCACTTGCTCCGAGAACTCAGAGATGAGGATGAAGTCGCGGGGGAACTTGGAGCTGGAGACCTTGGCCCAGGGGTTGGCCCCGTGGCTGGCGAAGGGGAAGAGTGGCACCGAGTACTCCTCGGGCAGCGGCGGCTCGCTGTACAGCTCATCCTCCAGCTCCTCCTCTCTGGTGAAGGCCACCACGTCAGGGGCGCTGATCATATTTCCCTCAGGAAGGGACCGACATGGAGCAGCGAGGCCCCTCCGGTCCCCCGCCCCGGGAGGCCCCGCCGCAGCCCCTTCTCCCGCCGCTGCCTCACGCCTCCGCCATGGCCGGGCCCCGCTCGGCCGCCTTCCCTCACGGCCGCCGCAGCCCCGCAGCCATCTTGGGGTCACATGACGCCGCGCCCTCTCACCCCGCCACCCAGAAGTGAAGTCACCGCCCCACCTTGCGTTTTACGCTTCTTGTTGTTTTGGGTTTGTTTGGTTTTTTTTTTTTTTTTTTTTTTTTTAGCCGTCCCCCTTGACGTTAGTTAACCTGGAACGGAAAGTACAAACCGCGGCGGGGGAGAGCGGCTGAGGGGCGTGCCGCGGGGCATCTTGGGAGTTGTAGTTCTCGCCCCCCCCCGCGGTGGCACTGCTTTACGGCAGGGCGTAGCGTTGAGGAAAAGCGCGCCGTTTGCGACAGAGACGAGCGCGGGCGGGCGGGTGAGGAGAGACGGAGCGGCGGGAAACCGGGGTGGGGGAGCGGGCAGAGCCCAACCGGGGGTGGGGAAGGGGTGGTCATGGGTGAGGGAGAGCCCGGCTGCGGGTGGGCCGGGCCTGGGTCTCCTCAAGGCCTGGCTGCTGTGGGGGTGGGGGGAGGCTTGGCGGGGCCGCGCAGGACCCTCCCGGTGGCTGTTTCTGGAGGGGGGAGAAGTCTCCGCGCTGTGAGGCAGCCGGGTCGGTCGCCGGTTAAAGGCTGACCAAGGCGGGGCGCGGGAGACATCCAGCCCTCGCTTTCCCTCCTCGGCAGGATCCAGGCCCCGGGCAAGAACGCGGCAGCAATGCCTCGGCCCCGCCGGAGTCGTCACCCTCTCCTGTGATGAACTTTCTAGCGAGGCTCCTCGTCGGGCGCGGGGCCAGCATGCTGCCGCAGCCCTGGCGCCTCTTCTCCCGGGCTGCGGAGGACGTGGTGTCACAGAGGATCCGGAAGGTCCTGTGCGTGGCGGAGAAGAACGATGCCGCCCGAGGGATTGCGGATCTGCTCTCCAACAGCAGAATGAGACGGGTAGGGGTGCACCACGGCTCCTTACTGCTTCCTGTCCTGGGCTGGAGAGGGGTCAGCTCACCAGGGCCACCGTGCAGCACAGCCCTGCTCTCAGGTGTAGCCCCAACCCCGCTCTGCAGAGTGTGGTGCAGGCAGTTCACATCACCACGTGCAACATCTTGCGCTGGTTTTGTCTCTGACCATGCAAGGGTACAAGAACAGCTTGCTTTTGTGGATGGATACCACTTCCCCAAATCTGTTTGGGAGTCTTGGACCCTTTTTTCCTCATGACTTAACTCCTGTTGGAGTTCAGCTCCCCAGCTGTGCTCCCGCTGCCCACACTGCCTTCTCCAGGCACTGAGCTCTGCAGTGAGGGCTCCCTGTGTCATTCCTGGCTTTGCAGTGCATGCAAAAAGCTACAGGAACTGAAACCATCTGTTGGCGTGTATTTCCCAGTCGAAAAGCACCGATTCTGCAGCGTCAGCAAGTGTCAGGGGTTTACTGAAGTTCACGTAATAAAGCAAAGATGGTCTGTGGTTTGGAGAAGAGGAGTTCAAAGATCTCTCCTCTCTGCCGTTTTGTTTTGTGACCTTTAACAGTTTGCATAATTACTTGTTCTCTCCAAACTAATGAACTAGAAGGTGCTTCTTGACCAAAATTATATTTCAATGGAAGGTATTCTTGAGAACCTGAGCACTGACAGTCCCAATCAAGGCAGATACCGTTCTGCTTCTGTAGAAAAAGCACCAAATACCCAATCTAGAAACTTCCATGAGTCTCAGTTAGGTGGAAGGTAGTCTTGGGAACCTGGATCTGGCACACTAAGCATCGTTTGGAGTGGGACAGTTGTTTGTCAGGAATATAACTGGCCAGCCCCATTAAACAATTCCATTCCCACTGTCTTCACTGTCAGTGAGGTGGTAACCCTGGCACCCCCTTCAGGCATGGTTTAAAATACTGTTGGAAAGCACCATTTCAACGTCTCCATAAACAATACAGGCTATTTCTACCTACACTGCTACAATTTCCATTAGCTGCAGTACCAGGGTTTCACTTTCCTCATGCGTCTCTGTGTTGTGCCATAACAGCGTGTGCAAAGCAAAGCAGAACACGTTTGGTTTCTCTTCGAAGCCAGAAACTCAGCAACTTTCCTTTTCCCTTCTAGCGAGAAGGGTTTTCCAAGTTCAACAAGATCTACGAATATGACTACCAGATGTTTGGCCAGGTAGAGTTTTCTTTTATTTTACTGCTGGATTAGAGAAGTGCTAAATACTAATTATACCAAAAAAAAAAAAAAAAAGCCATTTGTTGGAAGTTATGAAAGACATGTCCAGTGACGGGGACATTTTGTCCAAAGATGAGGAAAAGTCAGATGTTCTCTTTTTGACTCAACCCCTTTGTCACTTCAGGTCTTTCAACTTTCTTCTTTTCTGTCAGTCAAAAATATGTTGTTATTTAGAATTGGGAGCTTCCTACAAAAATTGAGGATAAGGCCACAGATCTAGTTGTCACTAGAGAGAAGAGCTTGTAATATCAGCAGGAGGGAGGTGTCACTGACTGTGTAAATCGAGCACTGCATCAAGATCTTGGGGCTGTGAGTAGTTTCTAGCAAACAACGGGCACTAATTACCTCGCTCTGTCTCTTGCAGAACGTTACTATGGTGATGACATCCGTGTCAGGACACTTACTGGCTCACGATTTTAAGCTGCCGTTTCGCAAATGGTCAGTACTCAGTACCCCCCCCCCCGCAGGAAGGGGGGCTGGCACTTCTGCTTCCAACCCCGAGCAGAGCGGAGCACTGCGAGTTCGAAGGCTGGGGAGCAGGGAGGGACTCTGACACCGCCTGTAGAGCTGGGCGAGGAGTACCAAATTTTATAGAGAACAGCTAAAATACTGTTTCAAATTACTGCCTTCAGGGCACTCAAAAACCCTGACATCGTAATACTGGTTAAAATACACTAAGGCAGACCCAAGGAATTAAACTGATTCCAACACTTTAGTGATGTTTTTGTGTTCTTTGTTCAACTAAGAGTTGTCCTGGGAAGAGAGGCGCTTTCTCTAGCTTCCCTCCCCTTTGTTCTCTGTGCTTGAAATAAGAGAAGTTGCTTGTTTAAGGCTGCCTTCCAGATTTGCTGTTTTCTCTGGTTGCTTTCTGGTTCTATTGCTGTTAAGTGTAACTCAGCATTTCATGTGAACTCTAAGTTGTCTCAGACAAGGCCAGAATAGAGTATATTATTAATTCCAGTACTCGACCAGCTCTTCCTCACAAGCCAGCACCAGTAACATATGTTTTAGTTTTTGTTACGTACACTGTTTACCCTCTGTTTACCAGGCATAGCTGCAACCCTCTAGCTCTTTTTGATGCTGAAATCGAGAAGTATTGCCCTGAAAATTACGTGGATATCAAGGTAGGTTTTTTTTAAGAGTTTCCCAGAAACTCTGAGTTCCGAGGTTAGTTCTGCAAATATTGGCTCGGACAGAAGGATGATTGTACCTTTGTCCTTAATGTCTAAGTTTCTCAAGTTTATCAAATTCCTCCTGCATTTCCAAGGACTATACGTGCTCTTCATTTGTGACACTGAAAGTCTCCTGCTCGTCTACAATTAGCATAGTAAAGGAACAGCTGCTTTACTAAAAGTAGAAATGTTTTTTCCACTAAGGTGGAACTGGCAATTGCATCTCAATTTTACAAAAAATGACGTTTTCAGGAAACAGTTTGTGGTACAATCCTATCCAAGCCATGCTTTTTAACAGTTGGGTGTAAATAAGTGACTCAGTTCTTTTGAAAGCTGCCTAATCCCACGAGAGACACAATTACAAAATATTGTTGCACCAACCTATCTCTATGGATACACACTGCATTTCATGTTGTTAGTGAATCATTCTAAAATTAGATGACAGAGTAAGTGGCCTGGTATGTCTCACTGTGTTGTTTTCTCATCTCAGAGAACCCTTGAACGAGAAGTCCAGCAGTGCCAAGCTCTGGTGATCTGGACTGACTGCGATCGAGAAGGAGAGAACATTGGCTTTGAGATAATTCACGTTTGCAAAGCTGGTGCGTAGAGCATCTTCTGCATCAATCTGAGTTCCATTAAAGCGCTGATTTAACAGGTATTGCTGCTCAGAGATCTTGTCACAGGCGTGTTCTCAACCTTACTGTGTCCAGGTTAAATATATTGACTGTAATTCTGTTAAACATGCGGCTCTGATAGACCAGAAATATATTCAGCTACTGGAGAGCTATAGAATAGGTCGACAGCATACTCTTTCAGAAATAGCTGTTCATTAGTTGCTCCTTTCCGTTGAGTTGTTCTTTGATTTTTTTTTTTTTTTTTTTTCTGTCTGACAGTAAAGCCAAACCTCCAGGTTTTCCGAGCCCGTTTCTCAGAGATTACGCTTCATGCTGTCCGAACAGCCTGCGAGAACCTCACCCAGCCGGATCAAAAAACGAGCGATGCCGTTGACGTCAGGCAGGAGCTGGACCTCAGGATAGGTACGTAACACACGCTGGAGGTAAGAGCAGGCTGCCAGGCCTGGGCTGCTGCCTGCACCTCTTCTAAAGGGGAGTGAACAGGAGTGTGGTCAGTCGGCAAGGGACGGCTTTGTTATCAACATACAGCTTATTATCTATAAATACTTGAACTCCCTTAGACTGCTGAACAAACAAAATAGCCGTCCACCAGGCTCTTCCTCTCTTCTCACCCAACCACACTGAATGCACGTTGTTAAAGCCCAGCAAGGGCTCTTTAGAAATCATCTGTTACTCCATCCCCAACACGAGACAAATACCCTCTGTAGTGTTGTAAGTCTGATTTTTAGATCAGATACAACTAAATCGCATCTCATGTTTTACAGGAAACACGTTCTTTGAAGCCAGTGTTAGGTTTGTAGCTCACACGGCACTGACAGGCTTCTGCAACTTTGAGTATGAGAGTAAAATTAATAATTAGAGTATTAAAAAGGACCACCTGAAGCGTTGTGATTCTCCTCCGATGTTGTATTACTCAGTTCTAGCGTTCATTTTGTTTTCTCAGGTGCTGCCTTCACCAGATTCCAGACACTGAGGCTCCAGAAGATCTTCCCCAATATTTTAGCAGACCAGCTGATCAGTTATGGTAGCTGCCAGTTCCCAACACTGGGATTTGTAGTTGAACGCTTTAAAGCCATCCAGGCCTTCGTCCCTGAAACCTTCTATAAAATTAAAGGTATGCCTGAGGAAAGCGAGTC